TAACATGACCAAAGCTTTACTACATACACAAATCGAATCCTGCATATATTTACCTTATGCAGAACTCCAAACAGATCTTGAACAACAGACGGACAGATTACACACCTTATAATACAAAACCAACAAAGAGGCAACAGTACAAATACACATTCCCAATAACAGCATATGGGATCAGATTCAATTCTAGAGGGCACGCTAAGATAAACCTATGCCATACAATCATCTCTCACTACAGATTTTCACAATGCATAACAGAACCAGTAAGCTGGTTTGTTTGCCTAGCCACCCTATGGTAGATATTAGCCATGGATCGCCACCTCCTTGGCACTCACTTCCATCATCCGCGGCGGCACGTTGTTGTTGTTGATCATCTTTGAAGAAGACACCTTGGCAGCCTGAGCAGCAGCACTGCCGCCGGTGTCAGCATAAGCTGAGAGATGAACTCCTAGTGCAGCTCTACCCGAGGGGTCTAGATTGTTTGACCAAGAAGCGTCCCATTCCACAGCTTTGGCCGTGCTGCATGCCACACTGGCTCCTCCGGGAACGGTTAGACTGGCAGAGTTCTGGTGAAATGATTCAATCAATGGAGTCAGATTAAGGGTGTTACAGAAGGTCTAGGATCCGTTCATGTTTTTCTGAAGTTTTGAGTTGGGTTGTTTATTACCTGAGGGAAGAACCTCTCAAAGATCATTCTGTAGTAGTATGCTTCTTTGGTGTTTGGGGTGTTGTGTGGGAAGATGAATTCCGCATTTTGCATCATTTTATCCGTCACCTGGGAGGCGAATCAGTCGAACAAGTAACAAACACATAAGAATACAGTTGATTTCAACCAAAAACCAGGAGTTGATGGCATGAAAGTTGAAAGTTCAAGTGCATACATGTAGAGCAGCATGAGCTTTGAGGCCATCAATCCAGCTATAGCCAACACCGTCACTGAATTGCTCTTTCTGCCTGTATAGAATATGCTGTTGAACGGAAACCGGATGGATCAATTTTAAACTCCTACCATTTGTCAATCTAAATCAACCCTACAGAAGCAAAAATCATGTGTCAACAAAATCAAACCTACCTTAGGCAGATAAGGATGGTCTTCATCGTCGAAGGCTTTCCTAAGAACCCATTTCTCAATCCTTCCTTCCTCCGGCCTAATCTGAAATGACCCACACCGAAAAAAAGAAAAAGAAGAAAACTTTAAGTCAAAAGAAACCAATCGTAATTGCAAACTGAGGCATACATACATATGTATGTATACATACCATCTTCCACTGAGGGTCGATAGCCATGGCAACATTGATGAAGTCCTTGTCCAAGAACGGGACACGAGCTTCCAACCCCCAAGCAGATGTAGATTTGTTGGCTCTCAAACAATCATACTGATGAAGTGCTTTGATCTTGTGACATGTCTCGCGATGAAACTCCTCCTTATTAGGAGCCTTGTGGAAGTAGAGATACCCACCAAAAATTTCATCAGAGCCTTCACCAGAGATCACCATCTTCACTCCGAAAGCCTTGATCTTCCTGGACATCAGGAACATGGGAGTACTTGCTCGGATAGTCGTGACATCGTATGTCTCGATGTGATAGATCACATCTTCAATCGCATCGATCCCATCTTGAACCGTGAAGTGGAACTCATGGTGCACGGTTCCCAGATAGTCTGCAACCTCCCTTGCAGCTTTCAAGTCAGGGGAACCCTGCCGATAGCAAAGAAGCTGCACTAAGGAACTACTGAAAGACACTAAACACAACAGGGAAAGATGGGACATTTCGTAGATTTTCACCTCAAGACCAACACAGAAGGAATGAAGCTGGGAACCCCATTGTTTTGCTGCTTTAGTTCCAGCCAAGTGCCTAGCTGTGATGGAAGCAACCAGGGAGGAATCCAGTCCCCCGGAGAGAAGAACACCAAAAGGGACATCAGTCATCAATCTCTTGATCACAGCCTGCGGTAAAAAACAGCAAGAACAATAAGTACAATCCAATCACAATTCACTTGGAGGGAAAGGAAGGAATGGCCTTTACATTCTCAAAAGCGCGCCTGAGAGCAAGTGGGTCGTAGGGAGAGGAAGGAATGGCCTCGGAGAACCAAATCGGGTTGTACCAGCGCCTGAATCCGCCGTTCTTGCTTGAGTAGAGATGCCCAGGAGGGAAACACTGGAAATGCTCACAATCATCATTCAAACCCTTGAGTTCGGATGAAATCCAAATCGAACCTGGAGAAAACCCAAGCAATTGCGTCAGTAACAGTTTATAATTTCTCGCCGGCAAATTCCACCGAGAGAAAATTAGGGTTAAAATTATTACCGTCGAGCCCCCAGCCGATCTAGAGTTAATTATTATAATTTCAATATTAATAACAACTAGCTTTATCCCCGGCCAACAGGCCGGGTAAATTTTACGTCTTAATCAAATAATTCATCATTATATTTAATTATTTTAAGTTTTTAAGTCATTTACGTTTTTTAATAATCATTTTCAAGAACACATTTGTGGTCTCTTCTCATATGTTTATGAGATTGTAACTAAGTAACAGTTTATTTCAAAAACTAAGCAATTAGCATTTAATCTATAATTTTTTAGTATTTGATTTAAACAATACACATTTAGAAGTTAGACAATCAAATTCTATTCGATGAATATTGGCTTGCGATTAAGTCTACCTTTTGTACATGTTCATCTTATTTTGAGGATGATGAAAAAGAAGTGCAATACTATTTGAGGATATCAAGTTTCAATCTAAATATTGTGAAAAAAAAGTTTCAATTTAGCTTCTTATGTAATGATTTGTCAACTAAATATTCAAATTGATTATTTTATACAATGTACAAAAATCAATAATAGATGTTTCAACTAACATCTATCAAGATACTGAAATCGAATTTTTTATGATGGAAGAGAACCAAATCCATCATTTGAATAATATAAGCTATGAATTTCAGATGCTTATATTTTCTTTCGGTGATAAATTAGTGTCTAAAATCGTACCATGTAGGCGACTGGCCTAAAAATCCTTCTATCAAATTCTAAATCGGCAGGTTGTTTTAATATTATGAAATAAGTTGAACCACGATTAATACATACACTCTACCGTTGATTTTTCAATCCAACCCAAATGTTTTTACAATCCTTAATATAAATTAGTGGTTGTGAGAAATTATTTCGTGGTTCGAATTTAAAAACTGTTATTAACATAATGAAGTTTAATTGTACAACAATAGAAACTTGCACGTTTTCTTTTTTCCAAACTGAACTTGCCCACATCTTGAGAAAAAAGCTAAGAAAAATTTGAAGTTTGACGCATACAAAATTGTTGGTTGGAAGATAAATTGCTATTTAGTAGGGGATAATATAAGTCAATGGATAACAACAAAAAGTATAAAAAATATAAACCTGCGGAGAATTCTCCAAAACTTCAGTGGAGACCCCCTTTACTAATTTTTTTTCTAGAATATTTTCGTTAAAGGGGACGGGAATAAAAGTAAAACATGTGTGAAAAAAATAAAAATAAAAAAGGGATTAATATGGATAAATGTTGTAGAAGAAAGTTTTGAGAAAAAAAATTAAGGGAAAACCCGAAAATTGCGGAGAGCACGAGAAAATTTGAATGGGGTAGGTGGTTTTGAGAAACCCCTTAATATATTTTGTAGATCCCCTAAAATACCTTTATTAACTAATTAAGGTATAACTTCCTACAACTAACTAAATATCCAACAACCAATAGAATTTATTTATAGCCATAACTATTCAAATTTGGACAATAATAGCCATTTTTTGAAAAATACACTAAAATAGCCACACTTTTAGAACTTGTTTGACAAATTTAGCCATTTCCGTCACATACTTTAACATCGTCAACAAGACCGTCAGTTAAGTCAAAATTAAGCTTAGGTGGATGCCACGTCATGTCCAACTAAACCCACATGATTTAAAAAATAGAAAAAATAATTTGTTTTATTTTTATTATTATCTTTCTCCTTCCCACCGAGGCTTCTTGCCTTCTTCTCCAAGAGGAGAATGGAGATACACCCACTGTTCCTATTCCTATGTTCCTCTAGCGATCAATTAAAGAGGAAAGGACCAATTAATTTTTGTCCTCCTGTCGCAGGAATCACCCGAAAAAGTTAGTCTCCTAACAGGCCATTTTGTTAGGAGATACTGACAGGGTCAGATTTTGGGCCACGTTTGCTTGGGCTTCATCCAACGGAGGAGAGTGGCGGCTGGGTGGTGGCTCACTTAAATGAGCTGGAGATGGGCTTTCGTGTAGAAGCCGGCCCAGCGTGCGGCGCAGAAGACGAGCCGAGCAAGTGGCGTGGTGGGTCCGGCTTCAGTTTGGGCGGGATTTTGGGTTGGAGTGGAAAGAGAACGAAATTTTTGGGCCCCATGTGATATATATGTATGTTTGTTTGTGTGGATATTTATTTGTTTTCAGTCGATATTATTATGTGTTGTGTTGATATTACTTTGCATCATTGTTGAAATGAACTAGTATTCTTTCTTCGCAAACCAATATCCATCATTAAATTAATATTTACCAAACCCCAAAATAACCCAACCACCCAAAACTGATTACACCAATTTAGAGTTAAGTTTTAGGGTTTATGGTTCGGTTTTCAATTTGTGAAGGATTGGAATATTGTTTCTTACATCAAATTAAACACACTAGGAAATTAAACACACTAGGAAGTCCTATCACGTAAGGCTTGCAACCTTAGTTAGGGCTGCCCGCCGAGGGCCCATGGGCCGAAGGCCCATTAAATAATAATAGTTTTATGGTTTAAGGTTTGTGTTACGGTTTAATGTTAAGGGTTTAGTGTCTACAATTAGGGTTTCTGTTATAGGGTTTGAGTTTTGGTTTCGGGTTTAGAAGAAAATATTGTGGAAATGATTTTGAACACAATGTATGGTGGTCAATTTTAGTGTGTGGTGATAAGATATTATTATGTGATTGGAGGATATTAGTTCATGATGTGTGGATATTTTTGCTGTGTAGTCGGATATTAGTCTAAGACATCCATATATTAATCTGTGTGTGGTGGGTATTAGTCTGTCTGTGTTGGGTATTAGTCTGTGTGTGGTGGGTATTAGTCTATCATGGTGACGATATTAATTATGGTATCATCGGATATTAGTCTTAGAGGGTGGGATATTAGTCTGGGTGGTGTGGACATTTTTTTTATTGTGAACGGATATTAGTCTGGGTTGGTTTGGATATTTGTTTTATGTGGTGTTTATCTATGTTTATGATTTAGTGATTATAATTTAGGATTTTAGTTTTTGTGGTTTAGTGATTATGGTTTATTTTTTAGGAATTAGGGTTTAGAGTTTATATGTAGTTGGTTGGGTTTTGATTTAGGTTTTAGAAGACGATATTGTGGAAATTTTTATGAATACAACGATATTTGTTTATGGTGATAAGATATTATTATGTGATGGGAGGTTAGATATTAGTCTGTGTGTGGTGGGTATTAGTCTATCATGGTAACGATATTAATTATGGTATCAGCGGATATTAGTCTTAGAGGGTGGGATATTAGTTTGGGTGGTGTGGACATTTTTTTTATTGTGAACGGATATTAGTCTGGGTGGGTTTGGATATTTGTTTTATGTGGTGTTTATCTACTTATTTGTATATGATTACATCAATTTAGGGTTTAGTGTTAGGGTTTAGACTTTAGGACTTAGAATTAGGGTTTACGGTTTAGGGTTTGGGTTTTGATTTAGGGTTTAGATATTAGTCTGTGTGTGGTGGGTATTAGTCTATCATGGTGACGATATTAATTATGGCATCATCAGATATTAGTTTTTAAAGGTGTGATATTTGTCTGGGTGGTGTGGACATTTTTTTTACTGTGAACGGATATTAGTCTGCAAAGTCGGATATTAGTCTGTGTTGTTTGGATATTTGTTTTGTGTGGATAATTATCTACTTAATTTATATTATTGTTGAAATGAACCAGTATTTAGCATCCCCAAATCACAAAATGTATTCTATAACAAAACACTGGTTTTCAAGTATCAGGAACTAGTATCATGGGCATTATAGTGCCAGAGTAAGAGATTAGCCGCAATGAGTGCTCCTTGTCTTCCATTATGCAAAATCCCTGAAGCACATTGTTGATGCCGAGGTTGTAACCGATGTCGACTTCCTCGATCTTGGGCCCCGAAGCGATTTAAAGTGCCCCTTTACGGTAACCTTCTTTCGTGACGTTGCCTCCGATCGCATCCTGCAAAAAGAGCCCGCCGGCCGATCTCGGCGGGGGCACCCTCCGACGCTCAAGTTAGTCCCTAGTGTGGGGGATTGAGTAGTTTACAAAGTGTTTGTAGGAGGTGAGCTCGGGGGGGTGGGAGTCACTGATTGCAGTGGGCGCTCTCCAGGTATTTCCCCCGGTCTCCTGCCTTCCCTTTTACTGGAGAGAATGAGCTAGTTATATAGTAACTACCAGGGGGACAACGGGAGGACAGGTGTGGGTACCAGGGATGAAGGAAAGACATGTCACTAGACATGTGTCGTATAGGCCCATCTGCACCCGCCATGTGGTTGTACACATGTCAACCATGTTTCTGTCTAAGGGGAACACTCTTGCCATATGCAAACTAATTGAGTAAAGGGCATGACACATGTGCAGGTAGAAGTACATGCAATGGATCCAGGTGGGGAGAATAGATGTGGATCCGGGTACTGAGAGCAGGGGGCGACAGCGGGCCCGGGCGCCGGGAGGAGGGGGTGACAGCGGGCCCGGGCGCCAGGAGGAGGGCGGAGCTCGGAATCAGTATCGGGCGAGGGCGCCGAGCACCGGACGAGAGGCGAAGGCCCGGCGCCGGAAGCCGGCGCAATGGTGTGCCCGGGTTCCGGGAGCCGGGGTCCGGGAACGATGACGGACCCGGGCGCCGGGAACCGGACAAGAGGTGAAGGCCCGCCGCCAGGAGCCGGGGTCCGGGAACGATAGCGGGCCCGGGCGCAGGGAACCGGATGAGAGGTGAAGGCACGCCGCCAGGAGCCGGGGCAATGGTGGGCCCGGGTGCCGGGATCCGGGAACGATAGCGGGTCCGGGCGCCGGGAACTGGATGAGAGGCGAAGGCCCGCCGCCGGGAGCCATTACAATGGTGGGCCCGGGCGCCGGGAACCGGATGAGAGGTGAAGGCACGCCGCCGGGAGCCGGGGCAATGGTGGGCCCGGGTGCCGGGAGCCAGGGTCCGGGAACGATAGCGGGCCCGGGCGCCGGGAACTCGATGAGAGGTGAAGGCCCGCCGCCGGGAGCCATGACAATGGTGGGCGCGGGTGCCGGGAGCCAGGGTCCGGGAACGTTAGCGGGCCCGGGCGCCGGGAACCAGATGAGAGGTGAAGGCACGCCGCCGGGAGCCGGGGCAATGGTGGGCCCGGGTGCCGGGGTCCGGGAACGATAGCGGGCCCGGGCGCCGGGAACCGGATGAGGGGTGAAGGCCCACCGCCGGGAGCCATGACGTTGGTGGGCCCAGGTGTCGGGAGCCGGGGTCCGGGAACGATAGCGGGTCCGGGCGCCGGGAACCGGATGAGAGGTGAAGGCCCGCCGCCGGAAGCCGGGGCAATGGTGGGCCCGGGTGCGGGGGTCCGGGAACGATAGCAGGTCCGGGCGCCCGGAACCGGATGAGGGGTGAAGGCCCGCCGCCGGGAGCCATGACGTTGGTGGGCCCGGGTGCCGGGATCCGGGAACGATAGCGGGTCCGGGCGCCGGGAACCGGATGATAGGTGAAGGCCCGCCGCCGGAAGCTGGGGCAATGGTGGGCCCGGGTGCCAGGAGCCAGGGTCCGGGAAAGATAGCGGGCCCGGGCACCGGAAACCGGATGAGAGGTGAAGGCCCGCCGCTGGGAGCCATGACAATGGTGGGCCCGGGTGCCGGGGTCCGGGAACGATAGCGGGTCCGGTCGCCGGGAACCGGATTGGAGGTGAAGGCCCGCCGCCGGGAGCCATGACAATGGTGGGCCCGGGTGCCGGGAGCCAGGGTCTGGGAACGATAGCAGGCCCGGGCGCCGGGAACCGGATGAGAGCTGGACGGGCCTGGCCCAACACTTCACCGAAAAGTCTTGGGCTGAGCACGATTGTCGGCCCAGGCGCAATAATGAACTATTTGAGCAGATGGTGAGTTGGTTCTGTAAAAATATTTTTACATTGGGTATATCAATTGCCCCCCTTGCCGGCGAGAATCTGAATATTCTCGGGGGCAAGCATGGTCTTCCCCGTGATTAATTCCCAAATTTAATATTGGGAGTTTATTAGAATACTATATATCTTATATACATATATGGTGGCTTCTATCGTACCTTGGGTAAAATCTAGGGTACGATATACCCTGAGTAAGAAAACTCTATTTAGACCTCGAATTAACCGGATTTTTGGGCATGATACGATACCCTAACCCATAATGAGTAAACCCTAGGTCTTAGTTTTCATAATTATAGAGCTTAACCCCTAAGATTGTCCATGTAATTTGTTGCATATATTTCGAAAAATCATGACCGTCGATTTTTGTTTCTAATTAAATTGATCTTAGTGTATTAGGTTTATAGAATTAAGACCTAGAGTTTCATCTGTAAGGTTTGGGAATAATACCAGATGTCAAACTCCGGTAAATTCGAGGTCCATATAGTGTTTTCTTGCTCAAGGTATACCGTACCCTTGATTTTATCCAAGGTACGATAGAACCACCCATATATATATATATATATTTTTGTTGAATGTTGATGTAGATTGTTTGGGAAGTGCACAAGTCTTGAATTTGGGGAGAGAATTTTCCCTCCTTGTAACTTTGGCCTTCATTATTCTTGATTCCTATGAGCAGAATAGAAGACTGTGCATTTTTCTTGAATTTTGGTCAAAGACCGTTTGGAAAATGCAAAAACCTTGGACTTTTTAGAAGAGAAAGTGTTCTCTTCCATGCTTTCCTCCTCTTTATCCTCTTATAAATAGCATCTTCCTTTCTTCTTTATTCTTCACTTCATTCTTCTCCCAAGTGCTCCCTTTCATTGAGAGAGAACTTGTTAGTTAGCGGGCGGTGGCAAGGCGAGGGTTAGCTCAGAAGATGTTGGAGACTTGATCGCTTCAGGTATGACATCTTTCCTCCTCCCCCCAGCGCTATGTTGTATGCTTGCTTGTGGGGGGTAGGAGTACTTAGTTTTTTTTCTTCTTCTTTTTGTTTCTTCTCCGTCTCAGTTATGGCGTATCGGCGGGTGATGTCGAGTCGGGATTCCTCAAGAGGAGGAGTTGTCCCGTCGGAGGAGGATGAGGTTACTTCGAGGGGGGAGATGGCGATCCCGATACAAGTCGTCCCTGCGTTTGAGGGAGGGTGGTTTGCTTCTGCACCGTTTACGAACCAGGGTGATGGATGGATACCTTGGTCGACCGAGCCTGTCAGAACGGGAGCTAGGGCGAGATACCGTGTGCGCTCCTTGTTCGAGACTTTCTCGGAGGATGACATGGCGGGAGACTTGTATCGGGAGGCTGGACAGACTGAGGACTTAACAAAGAGGATGGTGGAGCTGCAGGATATTCTGGCCTTGTATGGTATGCCAGATCAGTGGGAGTATGCTCTCCCCGGCAATGATGCCAGCATGAACTCTTGTGGGTCCGGGTGGCATTGCATTTTCTATGAGTCCCTCCCCTACGGGTTTCATGCCCCCTGCCCAAGTGGCTAGGCAAGGTGATGATAGATTCTGGCCTGGCCACTAGTTCGGTGGCACCCATATTCTGGGCGTTCGTGGCAGCGTTTTTATCGCTGCAAGGAGAAGGGTATAAACCCTACCGAAGATCTATTCTATGCGTCTTTCACAATTCGTCATGTTTCCTCGGGTAGTACCTCTTGGGGTTTGGAGCGTCGCTTCTATGGGCCCAAATCCGATCGGCGTTCCCCTTTTGAGTCTGTGATGAAGATAAAACAAAAGGGCTGGTATGATAAGTTTTTCTTCTTCTCCCCCCTGCCAGGGGGACTCACGGTAGGTGGAGATCCTCTTCCGGATGAAAGTGGGCTTGAGCATCCGAGTAAGCTTCTTAAGGCACCCAACGTTCCTATGGATTTCGGTCGGTTTTTAAGTGGGCCTCCGACCGAACTGCGTACCAAGGAACAAATTAGGTTGCTGATAATCCAAGCTTATTCAGAGGGTAGGAGGGTTGTAGTACTTCTTGCATAATAGGTTTTGCCATTCTAGAATTCTTGCTTGCCTTGCGGACTAAGCTATTTTCTTTTCAGGTACCATGGATGTTGAGTGGTTGCTTCGCGGCATGGAATCCGTTCAAGATGATGCATCTCCAGGGATAGGTCAACACGCATCTCGATCACGAGGAGTGGAGATTCGCGAGCTCACATCTCAGGATTCCGAAGGATTGGATATCTATCAAGGTCGAGGGGTCCACAGGAGGAGGATCATTATTGACTCATCAAGTCCTTCTCGATTCTCCGCGGGCTATGGAGGCGGCGCCGGGGTGAGTGTCACTCAGAGGTTATCCGGGAGCTCGGACTCCCAAGCAAGTGGTGGATCTTGGAAAGCTGCTTCAGGTCCGACCGGGTGGGCATCTCCAACTCCTGTGAGCGCGACCCCCAACAACCCGACTTCGGGTAAGGCGAGAGCCTCTAGCTTGGTGTCGGCAATGTCGGCCCCCATCGGGGGTTCTAGAGCACAACGCCTTTTGGACGCCCTCGACATTGATCATAATGACACTCATGAGATGACCGAGTCTTTCTACCAGGTAAAAAATTCTTAAGTAACCTTTAAATCGTACTAGGTGGACGGTACTAAATCTTCATTTATTTGTAGGTGGTGAAGGAGTCGGTGTCTTCCCATGTTCGGATGAGATCGGCGGCAAAGAAAACCGGCAAGGCCTCTCGTGCAGTAGCTGCAGCAGAGAAGAAATTGGCCGAGGAGCGAGAGCGGTCTGAAAGTCGGGCGGCACGAATCCGTCAACTAGAGAGGCGATTTCAGAGGGCGATGGAGAAGTTGGAGGAGGCCCGAGCTGCTGAGAGTCGTACCCAAGAGGAGCTGGTTATGGAGAGGGCGAGGGCAGAGCGAGAGTCCCAGCGGGTGCCCGTGCGGAGCAGGAGAGAGCTCGAACCAAGCAGGAGAGCGCCCGGGCAGAGCGCGAATTCAAAAGGGCGGAGCTGGAGAAGAAACGGGCGAGAGAGGATAAGGCAGCTCTGGCCCAGGCGAGAGAGGCACTTCGGAGGGAGTGTGGGATTTCCCAGAGGCTTAGGATAAAAAGAGATAAGACTTGGAGAACTATGAAGAAGGCATTTTCCCGAATGTACTGTTTCTCCCGAGACATAGTCAATGAGATGCATCCCGGGGCCCCTCTTAGCGAGGCAGATTTCAAAAGAAGAATGGCTGAGCGAGTGGCCGCAGAGGCGGAAGCGGAGAGAGAGGCTGGATATGTTGTTGATGCCCCCGAGTATGTTGGAGGGGAGGACGACCATACTGAAGACTCCCAAATTTCCTTGGGCATAATGGATGATGTTGCGGTTGACGACTTGGAGAATTTCATTGGGAATTATATGTCCGACCTCCATATGCCCGAGATCCCACTTTACTCGGGAACACCACCAGGTTTTAGTCACGCGGCCGGTCCGAGCTCCGCCTTGGGCCCCGACCCTTCGACGGGTGCTTGAGTCGTGGTAGTCGGCTTCCTTTGTTTGCTTTAGTTGTTGTTTCATGCACACTTTGTTGCTTTTCGTATCAATTTGGAATTTCCGATGTAATCCACGAACCATGCACTTTTATTATTATAAACATTGCTAAGCGCGAGCGCTTTTATTACATGGGTGTGAAATACCTACGTAGGTGCATGGCGTTCCAGGTTTTAGACATATCTTCACCGTCGGCATCTTCTAGCTTCACCGTGTTGGGACCGACAACTTCTCTTACCCTATATGGGCCTTCCCACTTGGGTGTGAACTTTCCCAGACCTTCTTCGGGGCGGAAATTTCGTCGAAGCACCCAATCCCCAACCTGGAGAGGCCGCTCTCTAACCTTAGAGTTGTAGTATCGAGCAACCCTTTCTTGGCTGGCAACCAGGCGTAGCCGAGCATCTTCTCGACGTTCTTCAACAAGGTCGAGGTTGTGGGTGAGCTCCTCATTGTTGGCTTTCGGGCGGAAGGCTTCAACCCGATATGACGACAGTTCCATTTCGATGGGTAACACCGCGTCGGTTCCATAAGTGAGCGCGTACGGTGTATCTCCTATGGCAGTTTTGTAGGAGGTTCGGTGAGCCCACAGGACATGAGAAAGTTCTTCCACCCATTTCCCTTTGGCGTCGTCTATACGGGTTTTTAGTCCCCACAAGATATTTTTGTTGGCGGACTCCGCCTGACCGTTAGCCTGAGGGTAGGAGACAAATGCATATCGAAGGAGAACGCCATACTGGGCACAGTACGTCTGGAGGTCCTGACTCTTAAATTGTGTTCCTTGATCCAACACAATGGTGTGAGGGAGGCTGAACCGACAAATGATGTGGGTCCATAGGAACTTCACAACCTGTTGGGTGGTCATGCCAGTTAGAGCATCGGCCTCTATCCATTTGGTGAAATAGTCGATAGCGACTATCAAATACTTTTTCCTCCCGGGTGCCTCGGGAAAAGGACCGAGGAAATCCATTCCCCACTGAGCAAAAGGCCAAGGACTGAGGTTCCCTTGCATTGGCGCAGTGGGCGCACGGGGTACTCGGGCGGCTATTTGGCACTTGGAGCATACCTTAACATACTCTCGGGCATCCCGTCGAATTGTTGGCCAGTAATATCCTTGACGGAGGAGAGTCTTTTCTAGACTACGCGGGCCTGCATGCATGGCGCATGTCCCCTGGTGAACTTCCCGGAGAGCAAAGTGGGCTTCGCGCGCACTAAGACACCGGAGATACGGGCCTGCGAAACTCTTCCGATACAGAGCGTTGTCGATCATAATGTATAAAGGCGCCCGACGCTTCAGGCGAACTGCTTCTTTATGGTCGGCCGGAAGGATGCCATGTTGGAGGTATTCAATCATTGGCGTGCGCCAGTCTCGGGGGAGTGGCAAAGTGGTTGTTTGAGAGCATAGCAAGGCAGGCCGCCGTTCAACAATAACATGTCTCTCGTCCAAAAAATCCCGCGCAGTTGCCAGTTTGGAGAGGGCATCCGCATGAAGGTTTTCTTCTCGCGGAATGTGGATGACGCGAGCATCGATAAAGTTGGCCAAGGCCGCCCGCACGGCATTGACATAAGCCATGAGTGTCGGCTCCCGTGTTTCAAAAGTCCCATCCACCTGATTGACCACGAGTGTGGAGTCTGAGTGAACGACGAGACGTTGTGCCCCCAGTTCTTGTGCCATGGAGAGTCCTGCTAGTAAAGCTTCGTATTCCGCGGCATTGTTGGTTTTTGGCGATGTGAATCTCACAGCTAACTCATGAGAGACATCGAGGGGGCTTATTAGAAGAACCCCGCCGCCTGCCCTGGACTTGTTAGAGGCACCATCAACGAACATCCCCCAAGTCTCCGTCGTTGGCGGAGGTTGACCACGAATGCCCTCGGCTATGAAGTCGGCAAGCACCTGTGACTTGATGGCCGTTCGGGGTACGAAGGTGATGTTGAACTCACTCAACTCGATAGCCCAGTTGATCATGCGCCCGGCAACATCCATTGTCTGTAGAAGGCGTCGAAGGGGTAGGTGCGTTAGGATGCAGATGGGGTGAGCTTGGAAGTAAGGGCGCAATTTTCGGGAGGCAACAACTACGGCCAATGCTGCTTGTTCCACGGGAGTATATCGAGTTTCAGCATCAAGGAGAGTTTTGATGGTGTAATATACTGGATGCTCGGTCCCGGTGGAATCCTTTTGCACTAACACCGCGCTCACGGCCTTGGGAGACACAGCAAAGTACAAGTAAAGGACCTCATTATTCTCGGGGGCGGAGAGTATTTGTGGGTTTACAAGGTAGTTTTTGAGCTCCTCGAACGCCCTCTCACAGTCGTGGGTCCACTCAAAGGTCTTACAAGCACCTTTAAGTGTAGCAAAGAACGGAGCACATCTATCACCGGCCCTGGCTATAAAACGATTGAGGGCTGCGATGCGCCCAGCAAGTACTTGCACCTCTCGACCTTTGGTGGGAGGAGGCATTTGAAGGATTGCATCAATCTGGCGAGGGTTGGCTTCGATCCCTCTTTGGGTGAGCATAAAGCCAAGGAACTTGCCAGCAGTTGCACCAAAGACACACTTTTTTGGATTGAGGCGGAGGTCATACAAGCGCATAGTGTTGAGCATTTCCCTCAAATCTTCAAGGTGTGCACCCACTCCGATGCTCTTTATCAAGATGTCATCGACATATGCTTCTACATTCCTTCCCAGTTGGCGGGCAAAAACCCGATCTACCATGCGCTGATACGTGGCACCAGCGTTTTTTAGGCCGAAGGGCATAACTTCATAACAGTAGTTTCCAACAGGTGTCATGAAAGCTGTCTTTTCTTGGTCTTCTTTCTTCATAGGAATCTGGTGGTACCCGGAGAACATGTCGAGAAAGGTGAGGAACTGGTGTCCGGAGGTGGCATCCACGAGCTGATCAATTTTTGGGAGAGGATAGGGATCCTTAGGGCATGCCTTGTTTAGGTCGGTGAAATCCACACACATGCGCCACTGACCATTTGACTTTTTTACCATAACGACGTTGGCCAGCCATGTCGGGTATAAGACTTCCCTGATAAACCGAGCTTTAAGGAGTTTGGTGACTTCTTCGGCCACCGCTTGGCGTCTTTCCCATGCAAAGTTTCGCCGCTTTTGTTGGACGGGGCGGGAGCCAGGGGCTATTCCGAGTGTGTGCTCGGCCACTCGAGGGTGGACCCCAGGCATATCTTCGGGACCCCAGGCGAATACTTCACCAAATTCCCAGAGTAACTTGAGGAGGGACTGTAGTGACTCTCGCGGCCAGGCGGTTGATATTTGAACTGTGTGCTCGTCAACGAGTGGGAACTCCTCGTCGTCATCAACAGGAACTGGGCGGGCAACTTCCTCTCGGGCGTCGATCGCCTTTTTCTCCTGGGACAGAGCGTAACATTGTCGTGCTAGAGCTTGGTCCCCTTGTACACACCCAACACCAGCCTTAGTGGGGAATTTAAGACGGAGATGGAAAGTTGAGGGGACAGCCCAAAGTTGAATGAGAAAAGGTCGGCCGAGGATACAATTGTACGCCGAAGGACAATCAACTACATGAAAGTTGACGATGGTTTCAGCGGTATGTTCACCACTCCCAATCTGAACACGAAGTGGTAGGGTCCCGATCACGGGTACCTGGGATCCGGAGAACCCCGTCAAGCAGATCTCTGCCGGCCGACACTGTTCAGGGCGGTATCCCAAGGATAAGTAGGCAGGGTAAAAGAGTAGGTCTGCCGAGCTTCCCCCATCCACCAAGATTCTCTTGACCTCGTAATCGGCTATTATTGCCTTTATCACCAATGTATCATCGTGTGGGTGCGCAACTCCTTCTAAATCATGGGAGTCAAATGAGATTGGAGGAGTGGCTGCTGTTGCTGAGGTGGAGCCCACCATGGGCTGGGCGTTCGTCGGAGGTTTAGCTTGCATATCCGCGAGGCCGGCTCCCCCATGGATGACCTCGACGACCCCACGAACAACGGTGCTCTGAAGAGTTTTGCCTCGATCGGTGGGCGGGAGCTCTCGGGAGCATTCCATTGAGCCTTCTACGTATTTCTTGAGATGTCCTTCTTGAACAAGATCTTCTATGGAATTCTTTAGAGTCCAACAACGCTCTGTATCGTGACCATGACCTCGGTGGAAATCGCAATACTTGTTCTTCCCTTTTCGTGGTTCCTTGGTCATTGGAGCTGGCCACACAATCGGGATTTTCTTCTCTTGGATGATTTGCAAAATAGTTTTACGTGGTTCCGTGAGGGGAGTGAAAGGACGTTCTGCTTTGGGTTCAACTCCTTCCCGACGGGCATCTCGACGACCTCCCTTATCTGAGGGCGGCGGCGAACGACCACGTGGGCGCTCGCGAGCTCGCGCTGAATCTGCTCTTCTTGGAGGTGAGGAATCACGCTTCCTCTTAGGGGGAGGCGAGCGACCTCTCCTATGGGGGGCCGCCTACTGCAGGGTCTCGTCAAGGGCGATATACTTAGAAACTCGTTCCTGGAGATCCATCATGTTGCGAGGGCGTCGCTTTATAAGTGAAGCTCGGAGGAGGGCGTTATTGGTCCCAAATATGAGGGCATGTGTGGCATTTTCTGTGGAGAGAGTGGTTACCCCGACAGCAATCGTACTGAACCGGGCGTAGTACTCTTTGAGGGTCTCATATTCCCTTTGCTTGGTGTTCATGAGGTGAGAGACATCCACATTAGGCCTTTTCTGAGCGAAGAACTTAGCACGGAAAAGGGTGGCAAATTCTTCGAAGTTGTGGATTAACCCATTGCGAAGTTGGTGTACCATTGAAATGCTACCCCCCGTAAGGTGGCAGGAAAGAGCTTGCACATAGTAGCGTATATGCCCCAACAAAGGGCATCAGAATCTGAAATGCACTGAGGTGATCCTCCGGGTCGGAAGTCCCGTAATATTCTGGCAGGTGGTGCGGCATTTGAAAATTGGGAGGATTAGGCTGCTCAAGAATAGTCTGGGCGAGGGGCCTTCCGTGACCGGGATCACCGAGGAAGCCTGGCGTGAGACGAGCCTCCAAATAGGAGAGGTCGGGTCGCGAGGGAGGGGGCGGTGCCGACGTCCCGTTTGGCTGGGCGGATCTACCAGGGGTTTCTTGTTGTTGACTCGAACTACCATGCACGCCATTGGGAGGAGGAGCCCAGGTCAGCGTCTTAATTTGTGCCTTTAGTTGCTCGATTTGAGTTTGGAGTTCCTCAACAGTAGGTTGGACAGACGTTTCTTTGTCTCGACTTCCCCCCGCGGGGCGGGAGCTTTCGGACTCCATCACGAACGGAAAGTTGATATATGGTATTCTTTAATATTTTTACTTCGGGGCCCCACGGTGGGCGCCAATTGTTGATGCCGAGGTTGTAACCGATGTCGACTTCCTCGATCTTGGGCCCCGAAGCAATTTAAAGTGCCCCTTTACGGTAACCTTCTTTCGTGACGTTGCCTCCGATCGCTTCCTGCTAAAAGAGCCCACCGGCCGATCTCGGCGGGGGCACCCTCCGACGCTCAAGTTAGTCCCTAGTGTGGGGGATTGAGTAGTTTACAAAGTGTTTGTAGGAGGTGAGCTGGGGGGGGGGGGTGAGAGTCACTGATTGCAGTGGGCGCTCTCCAGGTATTTCCCCCGGTCTCCTGTCTTCCCTTTTACTAGAGAGAATGAGCTAGTTATATAGTAAATACCAGGGGGGCAACGGGAGGACAGGTGTCGGTACCAGGGATGAAGGAAAGACATGTCACTAGACATGTGTCGTATAGGCCCATCTGCACCCGCCATGTGGTTGTACACATGTCAACCATGTTTCTGTCAAAGGGGAACACTCTTGCCATATGCAAACTAATTGAGTAAAGGGCATGACACATGTGCAGGTAGAAGTACATGCAATGGATCCAGGTGGGGAGAATAGATGTGGATTCGGGTACTGAGAGCAGGGGGCGACAGCGGGCCCGGGCGCCGGGAGGAGGGGGTGACAGCGGGCCCAGGCGCCAGGAGGCGGGCGGAGCTCGGAATCAGTATCGTGCGAGGGCGCCGAGCACCGGACGAGAGGCGAAGGCCCGGCGCCGAAAGCCGGAGCAATGGTGTGCCCGGGTTCCGGGAGCCGGGGTCCGGGAACGATGACGGACCCGGGCGCCGGGACCCGGGCGAGAGGTGAAGGCCCGCCGCCGGGAGCCGGGGCAGTGGTGGGTCCGGGTGCCGGGAGCCGGGGTCCGGGAACGATAGCGGGCCCGGGCGCCGGGAACCGGATGAGAGGTGAAAGCACGCCACCGTGAGCCGGGGCAATGGTGGGCCCGGATGCCGGGGTCCGGGAACGATAGCTGGTCCGGGCGCCGGGAACCGGATGAGAGGCGAAGGCCCGCCGCCGGGAGCCATGACAATGGTGAGCCCGGGCGCCGGGAACCGGATGAGAGGTGAAGGCAAGCCGCCGGGAGCCGGGGCAATGGTGGGCCCGGGTGCCGGGAGCCAGGGTCCGGGTACGATAGCGGGCCCGGGCGCCGGGAACCGGATGAGAGGTGAAGGCACGCCGTCGGGAGCCGGGGCAATGATGGGCCCGGGTGCCGGGGTCTGGGAACGATAGCGGGCCCGGGCGGCGGGAACCGGATGAGGGGTGAAGGCCCGCCGCCGGGAGCCATGATGTTGGTGGGCCCCATTTTCTTTTTCTGTTGGCTTGGGCCAGCCGATGGACTCGGCTCTCCTCCCTCACATGTTGGCGCCAATTTACCTCCGCCGCTGGATCGTGGCTTGGAGACGTGGCTGCCCATCTAACCCTATCAGTATCGGATGAATTAACGAATCAAAACTTCTGTTGAAGCAGAAGGTGCTCTGGAAACATCGCCTCATTCGCAAATTGAGGCACGGAAGGAATTATCGCAACCGCTGCCATCAGAGAATCCACAACCGGAGAAATCATCACCACCCAAACCAGAGCCAAACTCATCAAGCCGGAGTAACCACAACCGGCGGTTAGTACGTACCCTAGCATATCGCTCCAATCGACGCCTGCTCGTCGCTGGATTTTCGAGATCCTCAAGATCCGACACTGCGATTCCCCCTTTGGCACTCCGGCTTCTAGATTCAGCACCCTGTCACCAGATCCGCACCGCACCTCGTCTTCATCTTCTCTCCAGAGTGATTCCTCTTCAGCCGCCGACTGGCGTATGCTCATCAATGTTAATAACGAGTATTGGTTGGGTATCTCGACGAGAAATGGAAGATGAATTGACTAGGATTTTGTTGAACATTATAGCTGGGAGAAGGAGGGAGCGGACTAGTTGAATCGGGATCGTTGATTCGTCCTTGTGGATGTTTGGTTGGCGGTGATGAAGCTAGTGGTGCGGCGGAGCCGCGGAGGATTGGTAGCGGCGGCTGTGGAAGCTCAAGAGTAGAAGAGGAAGGGGAAGAAGTCTATGGGGGGAGGGAAAAAAAAAAGTCTTTAGGGTTTTCAGTTAATTAATAGGAAAAATATTAATTCCACCTAATATGTTTTTTACCAAAAATTGCCATGTCATCAATAAACGTCATCTTAGTCAGCATCTGTTATAGCACCGTTAAAGTTATGGATGACATGACTATTTTAGTGTATTTTTCAAAAAATGGCTATTATTGTTCAAAAGTGGATATTTATGGCTATTGATAGGGGTGGAAGTTTGGTTTGCGAGTTGCGGGTTCCAAACCGCACACTTTGTGGATACCCATACCCACAATTTGTGGATAGTGGGTTGGGTGTGAGTAGCAAAATATTAATTTTTGTGGTTAGTGATTAACCACTACCCACAGTGATTTACCCACAAAACCCACATTAATTATATTTATTTCTTCAAATACTTTGTAACCCACATTAACCACATTAGTTATATTAGTTTGTGAAACTTGGAAGACTAAGAATTAAAGTAGCTACCAAAAACAAATACACACTTATTATATTAAACAAAACCAAGTCAATGCGCAATGTTCATGTGAGATATTTTTATCAAATAAGCATTGTCTGTGTGGTATATGTTTATTGTATAACAAAACCAAGTCCATAGATATAGTCAGATAAATTAGTCCATTTGTTACAAGAGAAGAATAATCGATAAAGGTTATGGGCCGTTTACTTGCCATTCCATTTCTGTTAGCTGCCACAACAGAAAACAAAATTAAAAAGAAAACGAAGCTGTCATTTCCTGGAAAACAAAACCTGAAAAAACCTTGTTTAGCTGAGAATTTTGGTGAGTTCTGAAATTGAGCTGAAATGAAAACTTGTTTAGTTGCTTCATTCTGGTTTCTTATTCTTGATTATCATACAACCCTAGACCTGATTATAATTTTTAATTTGAATTAAATAGTTTTTAAACTACAAATAAACATAATACAAGTACAACATCTTATATTAATTAAGTACTAGTACAACATAAAAATTCAAATAAGTCCAACTTGAAAGTCATCCCACAACTTGTCTGCTATTCCATCTCGTCGTACATCCATTGCTCGAGTTTGGCTTGAACTATGATTATATGCTTCTCGTTCTTGTCCTCCTTGCACTCCATTGGCATTCTCCCCCGTGCAATAATTTTGATATTCTTCAAACAGAGTGTCGTCACCAGAGTGGATCCTAATAAAGTTATGTATAACACAACATGCAAGAACAATGTGTGCTTGTTTCTTGAGAGCGAAAGGAGGCATATGCTTCAAAATGGGAAATATAGCCTTCAAAACTCCAAAACAACGCTCGATAACATTGCGTAGAGATGAATGATAATAGTTAAAAAGTTGTTTACGAGTCTTTGGTCCACCTTCACGATCGATATCTTGAAAATGACGTGCTTCTTTTGTCTTATATGGCGCTAGAAACCCAGGAATGTTTGCATATCCAGAATCAACAACATAATACTTACGTATAAGATATAAAATCAATTAGTCATATGAGATGTGCACTATAATTACTAAAATAAAGAGACAATCATTTCGTACCTCGTGGTGGCATCGGAAAGTTGTTAGATGGGTTGGAAAGAAGCATTGCTATGGTCATTGGACCAACTCCCCCTGGTACTGGAGTTACTGCAGATGCAACTTTGCTGGCTTCCTCGTAGCAAACATCCCCAACCAATTTATACCCTCGAGAGCATGATGCATCCTTTTGAACATGCATCAGAACAAGAAAACAAAGCAACAGTCAATGACCAACACACTCACCAAAAGGAACTGGAATTCGACCTCCTCAAGACCACCCCAACAACCCTCTCCTAATCAGTTAAATACATCTAACAGTAGAGGAAAGTATCAAGAAAAATGTTGAGTATTACAGGGACCAGTAGTTCAATCGACAAAATGATCAAGAAAAGCACAGAGTATATATCGCAACCAGTCGCCTTATCTCACCTCAACAGCATTGATTCCAACATCAATGGCGACGGCACCAGGCTTTAACCAACTCCCTCTCACCATATTCGATTGGCCTACAGCAGAGCCTGCCAATATTCAAAGGGTGGAAACCATCTACATCTTTCTCAATGCTAACAGCATTCAAGACGTTCTCTTCATTCATATGTTGCAACAGAAAAACATACATACATCATCACGATCTCAAGCCCTCGAATTCCTTGTTCATTTCATTTTCCAAAGAGCTCAACTTTCCAGTGTAATGACTAGTAGTACCTTTGGTAGGGGAAACTGGACAAGAATGCCATGAACTGCAGGGTCATCATTGAAAGCCACGATGTGCTTGAGAACTTCAGCCTCCGCCGAATCCTCCTGCAGGTGCACTTTGAAAGAATTGATCCCAGCAGATTCGCAAGCTTTCTTCTTGTTCCGCACGTAAGTCGCGGAGTCCTTCCTGTCCCCAACGAGGATCACTGCAAGCCTAGGAACAGCTCCAATCGCATCCTTCATCCTGGTTACTTCAGCGGCTATCTCTTCTCTGATTTGCTGGGCCACCAATTTTCTGTCTATTACCTTAGCGGAGACCTCGACCTCGCTGGGCCGAGATGCTGCACGAATTCAACCACAAACGAAATGAATCAAAATCTAACGCGGCGTTGGGAATTCGCAATAAGAGAACACAGAAGCTTGTTGAAAAAAGGGATTGTAGGAAACGTGTTCGAGGAAATGCTCGAATGAAGCCTTGCTTACCATCCATGGTTAGTGAGGGATTCTCAGGAGAAGAATAGGGGAGTTCTTCGATGACCTGCCGATGGTGGGATATCCTTTCCTTAGAACATGAACTCCAATCACAGGAACTCGAAATCGTACACTTGAAATGGCATGGAAGTGTGAGAGCAATCGTGGATGCGACTATTGACAAAGTCTGGGCCATGGTTTCACAGACCAAAAGACTTCCAGAGTGGATACCAAACCAGCACAAAGCATTAATCGGGTCGCTTAAAGGAGAGTAATTACCTGGAATGGGTCTACAGCAGACAGAGGTGCGGGGAGGGCTGCAATGCGTATTCTTCCTCCTTCGGTGCTGCTGCAATGCGTCTTCGGCTGCTGCTTCTACTTCTTACGGGTCGCTAGCAGGAGGAAGACGATGGAGGGAGAGGAAGATGACGGCGGCGGGGTATGGCGGTTGGCGGCAGAGCGAGAGATAGAAGGAAGTGGGAGGAGAGGCTGGAAGGAGAGGAAGATGATGGCGGCGAGGTGTGGCGGATGGCGGCGAGCGAGATGTTGAAGGAAGTGGGAGGAGAGGCTGGAGGGAGAGGAAGATGATGGCGGCGAGGTGTGGCGAACGAAGTGGGAGGAGAGGCTGGAGGGAGGAGAGGAAGACGATGGCGGCGAGGTGTGGCGAACAAAGTGGGATTCGAGGCTGGAGGGAGGAGAGGAAGACGATGGCGGCCGAAGGAAGTTCTCTTCTAGGGTTGCTAGAGGGAAACAGCAGCGCTTAGGAGGTAGAAGTAAAAAGGGTAAAAAAAAATGCGTCTGTGGTGAATCGAACGCATGTCGGTTTGAGGGATTAGTACGTTTTCCGCTGGGAAAGGGGGGGATAACCCGTCCCATTCTATTCAGAAAACGAGTATTAATGGTTTTCCCATTTGTAATAATTGGGTTTTTCCAGGGAAAATGGAATGGTCAAGTGAACACGTTTTGAATGGGGAACCCGGGAATTCTCGATCTAGAGCCAGAATCGGGAAATTGGAGCTTGGAATGTCGATTCATTGGTGGTTTTACTGTTTAGAGAGAGAGAAGGAGGGAGAGGGAGAGGGAGAAGAATAATTTTGAAATTTTTGAGGAGAGCCAAGACAGGATGGAAAGGAACGGAACGGAAGGTAAGACAGACGTCTTTCCTTTTGTTGTTCTTTCTTCCCTGGTTCCCGCTCGTATTCTATTTCGAAATGTAGAGCGGCCGGTCCAAGGTTCTCCCCTGTTTGGGCTTTGTCTTGGGGCCTATTGGACCGCCCGTTGACCACAAAAAGTTTCTTACTGAATGTAGGGCCTGCTTGATATGGCTATTGGGCCTTTAAGTAGATGGCCCTCATTCCTCAAGACCCAAAAAGTTTCTTACTGAATGTGGGGCCTGCTTGATATGGCTATTGAGCCTTTAAGTAGATGGCCCTCGTTCCTCAAGACCATTAAGTAGATGATGATGATGATGGCACATATACTTTTCTCTCTTCACTCCTATCCTAAGCAACCAACCATGACCATATAACAAAAGTTGGTTGATGGCGTGGATTGTAAGCCACAAAACGATGGGCTTACTTGATGGCGAGGATTTCACACCTTTCCTCTTATGATGTCTAATTGAGGTATTTGAATTGGTTGTACTTGTAGGCCACTATTCTTGTCCACAATAAACTTAATTACATTATTGATTGATGTAGGTTTGAACAAACTCACTCATATCAATTGATGTTTCATCAAATTGAAGTAATTTGATTATGAAAATATTCCTTTATGTTATAATAACTAGAGATATTTTCATCCAAATTTAATCTATTCATTTCCTTCGATTGTTTCATCCACTCATTGCTCATTGCTCGATTTGTAACTAACTAAACAATGCTCTCCATGAGAGGGGTACTCTTTGCTCATTTTGGTATCACATCAATGTTGTTGGGTTTCCACAGATTACAACCTTTTGTTGGAGTAATTTGTTGAGTAAGGAAAATGGCATAAAGCAATGATGAACATGACCCTGTTACTCAAAACGTTTAAAGGATTTTATGTTGTGAATCTCAAATTATTATCAAATGCGAGCCTTGAGAAAGAAGCAAGCAAAACAAAGAGTGGATGGGATAGTGGAAGTTGGGTCTAAGGGCTATAAGAGGGAATTGAATGGTAAATTGGTAATCGATGTTTGTTTGAGAAGTGGGCAAGTGGAGGAGAGGAGGAAGGCATGTGGTAAGCCAGCCAAGCCAATCCCATCTCATCCCAAACCCTACAAAACAAACTCACGGGAACCTTGTTTTATAACCTTTTCTTTCTCTTCCTCTCTCTCTCTCTCTCTGCAAATCTGCCTTGGAAATCAAGAAAACCTTCACAAGGTTTAACCATAAGATCAAGTATTCTTAATGCATTTGCCAAGACAAAGCAACATGTGCATCAAATAGGAGAACATACCTTGCTTGCTGTTAAAAGCTTCCAGGCCATCGACCATTATCCACGACGATGAGCAGATGAGAATGGTAGGGCTGTTAGAAACATAACTTCACATACAACCACATGATGTAACTTTGTAGAGAAATGGCACGTCAGAGATGATTTCCAGTTGGTAATTTCGTGGCTGCATAAGTTGCTTGATCAACTGCAAATTGCTCACTATCAGAATGTCACATGCTCCAATCTACATCAGTTTTTGAGCATGAAAGCACATAAAACAATTTCATACAAAGGATCGCGCAATCCTTGTTTGCACTATCAGCTGTGAGTTCTTGAACGAGCGCCAAAACAACCACTCCCATCAGCACATCTCTGGAACTAAAAAAGCTAACGAGGATGTTTAACCTGTAACTACCCCCCCCCCCCCCCCCCCCCCCCCCCCCCAATTCCATCTCAAGTTCCGCCGACTTTACTGATAATGAGGGTAGCGTAGTTGGCGATGGTGGATTCCGGGGACTGCCTCAGTTGCCCTATCACAGGAAATAATTCTGATGACCGGAGGAACTCCCTACAAGGCGCGTGTGCACACATCTTCGCCAGTGAAAAAAGCGCTATCTTCAGGGGAGATTCGTTCAACCCATCTTTCCTACTTGGGTTCAGGGCTATCGTGGAACAGTCGGCTACCAGCTTCAGCAAAGCCTGCATTAAAACAGAATCATCTGTTCATGAACAATTTCTCTAGTTGCACAATAATTTATCTTCGTTCTAGGGTGCATTAAAACATGTCCTCCATTTGCATGGAAAGCATATGCGATCACTTCTGGTTCATAGTTTGCATGACAAACCTGCATAGCTCCATGGGAGACAATTTCGTCGCAGAGTTTGCTGGAGTTGCGAACGAGATTGCTCAATGCACCAGCAGCATTGGCTTTCGTCTTGTCTTCCTCGGATGACAGCAGCAATTTGGCTAGCTGAGGGATTGATCTTCTGAGCTCATCGTATAACATCTCGTTATAGTATGCTGCATTTCCAATCTGGGGACGACAAAACGAAATAAATAAGAACATAATTGAACTAAAAAATGTCTAAATATATAAAAGCAGTTCAAACAGAAAGCTTACAGCAAAACATGCAAATTTTCTGGTACGTCTATCTGGGTCTGCACAGCGATCAATTAGGCGACCAATTATGTGATGCCTTTGCTGCAAAGTGATAACAAAAACAGTGATTAAATGCACAACTACCACAGTTTAAAATTGGAGTGCAATTTGTTTCTTTACATACTAGCAAAGTGTAGAAGTAGGCACTATGACGGCACATGTTGCCAAGAGCACTACAAGTTTTTGCCCGAATGTTAGGGTCTTCATGTATCAGGAAGTCCTTCAAGATCTCTAGAACAGAAGCGCGGTTGATATGTTCGTAGAATCCCTGCAAACAGAGAATATCCAATCAAGCTAATGAGCTCACGGATTGCACGATTATAATTTTCTAGCAAACTTGAGGACGGGTAAGCGAGGTGTTTAACCATTTCATAATTGATTCTACTGATTAATTGATTCTACTGATATAAGATATTTTGGTTTGCAATCAGAGTATAAAAGCCATTTCTGAAGAGCAATGCTAACACAGGGTAGTAGGAGCTACCTTGTCCATCCGAGCTAAGTCGGAGATGATCATAAGGATATCCAATGTAACCTCCCTTGGGGATGAACTATCAAGCAGTCTTCGAACTCTATTAGGATCCAACAAGCCTTTGCCCACAAGGTGAACAGCCATAGGCTTGTGGCCAGCCATCTTTGCAAGAAATGCAACAGGCCTACCCAAATCTTTTGTTTCTACATGCTCCAGGCACTGAAGAATAATGCTAGGTACTCCCACCTAAGGTTTGATAATGAGAATCAGAAACATAATTTCACAGTGGATAGCAGACATCTGAGCCTTTAAATGCAAAATGATGCTGAAGATCTTGATAATGAGGTTAGCTATCTCTACGCTAAACCCTTAGTCAGGTATGAACTCCATTATAGTTCCATGTAACAAGCCAACAGTAAAATCGAGTTTGCAAAGAAAGAGAACACGATCTTACCTCCAATAGGATTTTTGCAAACTTCCCTAAATCTTCTTCTATTGCTTTCACAATGGCCCTATCTTCAATGCATATTTTACCCCCAGGTGAACCCGTGTTGAGAAGGAAGCCGCTGTTTATAGATGCATTAGAAGCAGGCAGACCAGGAGCATTCTGAATAGCAACAAAAGGGAAAGCTAGCATATCAATTGCAGAGTTTATCAGATCTCTCACTCCATCCTTTCCACCACCTGGACCACCCCACCCTTTAACAAGCTTGAGGTGAACTTCAGATATCAAGTCACTGACTAGCTTGATGTGTTCAAGCCTAAGTAAAATCTGACGGTAGACCAAAGCTCCACCGGAAAGGCAATGGCCAATCGATGAAACTGTCCACACAACCCCTGCAGGGGAGAGCCCAACCTGATATCCACTGCTGGCAGTTTCTTGAGCAGAGGCAATTTGATGGTTGTGGTTTAACAACTCAATTAGAAGAAGAGGAATGCCACTTGCACATAGCTGCTGTACAGCTAGTGGCCCTCCCCACTTCAGTCTTGATTCTAGCAAGCCAACACATCCATCCCGAAGACCATGCCAATATGATAGAGCACCACTGGAATTATGAGGCTTAGTTGTTCCATTTCCATCCAATACCTTAAGCTGTTCACAGAGAGTGGCAGTTCGAGGAATCAAAGGAACTGCTACTTCAGAGATTGACGACTCGACAGGAGCACCACACTCAAGGGATAGAATACAAGAAAGAGCCAACATAGCTGATGCAGAATGTGGATGCAGCGAAGCCTTCCCATCATCAGAAGAAAAATGGTGGGCAAGAACTGAAAGTCTGGCTTGCTGTTTTTTCATGGAAGTGGTCAGCACAAACAATGCAGAATTTCTTCCAGAGGATTTGAAACACTGAGCAATAATAGCAAGCAGGAGGCACGAATGCGTCGCTAGAAGGGAAGGATTTGCGAACTTAGTCTTTGCTGTTTCGCCTGCTTGAGGGTCTTTGCTTAGCAACGAAGCACACAATGACAAAACGGAGAATATTTCAGAAACTATACTTCCATCTCCTCCACCACTTACAACAGTAGTAGAAGGAAGCGAAGTGGGTAAGCCACAAAGAATGCCAGGAATAATTGCACTTTGCAGGCAGCATCTTGAAAGGATCTGAAATAGTCATTAGCGGAGCTTACAACATCTCTATAAGGGGTAATATAATATAATTCACTATTAAACCATGATATGAACTATAACTACAAAATCATAAGGAAGCACCTGTATTGTAGCCTGTAGTGAAGTCTCCATACGTTGACGTAAACAATAGGAGACAGCTACCTGAACAGCTTTTGATCTCAAGAAAGCTCTAACAAATGCATCAATCATTCTTGTAGAATCTGTTCCCACCAACGAGACTCTTTCACGGTCCTGAATCTGAAGCCGGCGCATTGAACAACTTCGAAAAGCAGTTACAGGAAATAACGAGGGATTTGATTTCATGTAAAGAGCTTCCACTCCATCTATCAGTGACCAGATTGCCTTACAAGCTTCACAAGCAGTACGCAACATGGTGGAAGAACCAGAAATGAGGCCTGAGCCTGCGGTTGCTAAGCAAATGCATAACTGCTCCATCAAGCCACATGTCTTAGCTCGATCAAGGATCTGCTTTGATCTCTCAATCATCAAAGGAGTGTTAACTGTATCTGAATCTGAAGTTTTGAGAGCATTTGCTACTTTTGATAATACAGATGTGATACAAGTGCTGGCCTCATAAACAACTCTTCCTGTAGAGTCCTCACTGGAGCTGAGAATCTGCATTTTCAATAAGACAAAAAGGCTTGAAACAGTGCATATGGTGGTCCAGGAAAGGAAACGGGGTTGAGGGATACATTATTTACCTGTGAAAAAATTTCTGTCATTGCAACCCAGTGTTTTGTGAAATGTGAACTTGCAATGCAACTTACACTACAATCTAACAAATGCTTTATGACAGAGAGAACCTGCAAAACTTTGGTTTATAAGATGTCGTGCTGAGGCTATTGGTTACTGAACTACTAACTGAACAACAAAAATAGGAGCAAGTCAATACAAAACCTTGACAGAGATAACTGAATGCTCAACTGAGGTCAATCTTAAATCTGAAAGGTTTCTAAGATTCGTACCTTGGTTTAGTTAGCACAAAGTTGCTGTTTCTAAGCAACATTATTTTCTCATTTCAATAAATTTCTTGGAGGCTTCAATAAATTTTCTCATTTCAATATATTTAACTTTGTATTGGAACTGAAGGTACACTCTTTTAGTTAACACAATATTATATTTGACTTTCAACTCAGTTAAGAAAAATAATTATGCTTGATGCTAAGCTGAAAATACTAATCATTTTTGGATCTCAAGGAACACCTGGCTCCTATAATTGACTAATTGTATTGTTCTTACAAACGTCAAATAGCAAAATGTGCTCGACTTCCTTTACTGCCTCCAAGACCAGAGAAAACAAACAATATAGATGCATGGATCATCCACACGTATAGAATGTCAAATTTCTTTCCAAGCACTGTACACACATATATATATCCAAGAGAAAAGGCCTGTAAATTCAGACCTCAAGACTATACCTTGGATAGTAATTCATTGAGTCCCGATGAATTCAGGCTCATTATACTGGAAGTGAACTCAAAAAGTTCACTCAGTATTTCATCTAGCAGTCCACTAGACTGGAAAGCCCCAGCAGCAGCCAAGTTAGAAAGAATTCTCATTGATTGGTTTGCACAAATAATCTCTTGATCCCTGTAAAAATTGAGAGCACATTTAATCCCACAATTGAGAAGCATATATAGACATAAATCCATCTGTGAACTACAGAGACATTGCATCCTTCAAAAGTCAAGGATATCTATCGAGCTTATAACACGTGCCAGTGGAGCAGAGTTTGACCTGCATGAATGTTGGGAGTCTTTTGACCACCTTCTCAGAGGTAGCAAGACTTGTGTCAATGCTTCGTTATCTTTACCAATTACTTGTGCGCCTTTAACTGTTCGTGAGTTGTTTTCCAATCTGTCCAACGTATGATTACCTGAAAAAAGGATCAATTTATAATGAAGAGGTCGAGACCATGAGAAAGGTGAAAACGAAAGGGACTAACTTCTACACTTAGCCTTAACTGAATTGCAAAGAAGAGAAAACTGCAAGACACAAATCACTGGCCAGAATATTTTCCATGCAAGAAAATTTTCAGGTACCGCAGACTTCTGTAAGATAAAAAGCAAAGCACACACATCTGGTTTTTCATCAACAGGAAGTTTACAGCACTACTAGCATACCTTTTAACTACTTCGAGGAATATGAAAAAGTAAAGAAGGAAAGAGGCCGAGCACATTCACTTCAGAAAAGAACCAACTCATTATCTTTAAGGACACCATTAAGGAAAATCAACTACAAGTGAATCCAGTTTCAGGTTAACAGCAAGATATACCAGAGTGCTTGACATCATTATGACTTGCAAATCCAGGAAAATCCTCAGGAGGTACTGGTGAAGTATTCCCTGCAACTATATTGAGACAATTTAGATGGAGATAGCACTGGAGTACTGCAGTTTCAATAGCAACTCTAACTAAATAGTTTAGCTTTCAATTTTTGCTGTATTGATCAAAGGTCAATACCCTCAGGAGAAGACCCAGCTAGATCAGCTGATCTTTGGCTGTTTTTTCTGCAAATATCCAAGGCTGCATCAGATTCACAAGCTGCAGCAACTGCAAAGGGAACCTCCTGCAATTTCACAAGTTCGAGAATGTCCTAAATTGTCCAACTAAAGGTCATGTAGAGACTCAACATGAAAATGCATATAAACCATTAACTGTAAAATCTATTTTATGCAAGTCAAGAGAAAAAAGTAATATGCTGTTCCGTGTAGAATGGCATTGAATGTTAATTTTCTTTCCCAGGGAAAAAGTTGAAGAGCCAAGATAGGATCTGAGAAGGATAGCAATACCCTGCCCTCCATTTCATCTGAAATCTCTTTGACAAATGGATGTTCCAGAAGATGAGGCCAACTCAACCGATTTTGTGGTGACTGCAAAACGATGATTAACCTCAATCTCAAAAATGAAAGAGAAGCAGAAGACCAAACAGAGAATATATGAGGCCACCTTATTGAGCAATCCCTTAAGGAAGCTTTTAAAATTTGAGCTCATGTTATCCGGATATTTTACAGGATCCTACAACAGCAAAGATGGCATTAGCTTCTACAAGCACACCTTAAAAGTAGAAAACCATTTAATGTATATGCTTACACACCTTAACAATGTGCCTGATGAGAGCATATACAGAATTTGTGTAAAACGGGGGCTGGCCAACAAACAATTCATATCTGTTGAGGAGAATGCGAAATGGAACATCAGGTAAACCACATAAAATAAGGAAATGACATGACACAGACACAAACACTGAACAGGTCACTACCACATACAATATAACTCCAAGCGACCACAAATCAGCAGTGTGGTTGTAAGGTTGCTCCCGGACCAGCTCTGGAGCCATATATAAGGGTGTTCCTGAAGAGCGGGATCAATATCAGAGTCACACTACCAAGGCTGCGATGAAGATTTTCCAAGGACAAAACACGAAAAAGCTATACTGCATAAGCACCTTTTATGGACCGCAGAACGACAGTGTTCTGGGACATTGCACGGGCAAACCCAAAATCACAAAGCTGCCATGAGACGAAATGAATAGTTAATACAAGAGTTGTAATTATTTAAACATCCTCTAATATAGTGATGATGAGCAACTGTTGCTAAACTCAAACAGATAGTGAATACAGGAAAACAAAAACAAAATGCTTATGAATTTAAAAGCTAATAGCAGTTAAGCTAACTAGGCATCATGTGTTGATGCATATGTACAGCAGCAAACTTGACGTTGGGCTGTTAAAATTTACAAATAATATATCCTGAGCAAACTTGGATTCACAATATAACCTTAACAATTGATCCAGAACAGATGAGTATGTTCTGCGGCTTCATATCCCTGTGGATGATTCTATTTGAGTGCAAATAATGCAACGCTCTCACCTACAAAGTTTAACGAAATAAGTTCAGACCAAAAGAGGCTAAAGGTTTGTTATGATCATGTGAAAGCCTGATTAGACGTGAGATCATAGGTGGAACTACTACCAGTTGCTTTGCAATAGCCTGGACTTGTTCTTCAGGGAGGCATTTGTCATCCTCTAGTATCTCAAATAGTTCACCCTGGAATTTCAGAAAAAGCAATCAACTACTGGTGGATCGATAATATTCCATGATTATTAAGTGAACTCTGTAGCTTACTATAGAACTTAAGACCACGTAATACCTGTGCAAATTCTGTGACAACACAAAACTCTTGGGGACTCTCAAACGAGTCAAGCATTTCAATAACATTTTCATGCTTTAGCTTTCTCAAAATCTGTAAAACAAAGAAAGTTCAGGACATTAATACTCAGTGCAGATGGAATGCTTGATAACAAACCAATCAACACCATAATTATTTATTCCATCTATCATCATTGCACTCGCTATAAAGACTACATACAGCTTGTCAAAAAAAGGTTACATAATGGAGAATTGCTCTGTATACAGAATGTCTTCCACAACTTTCATCGTCTATCTTTAGATTTTCCTTGGGATGTTTTATGACCATACCCTTGCAGGGAATGCCATGCATGAACAGCATTAGAAAGCCACTAGTTTCCTCGCACCACGATCTAAATCAATCAACCTAAGCATGTCTAATGGCAATGGCTACCAGATGATGAACAAAGAAGACAAAGAGGAAAGCAATGACGCGTTAACAAGGAAACAACAGTAAGAAGAGCAAAGGAAGGATGAGAAAGTACTTGATTACCTCAATTTCTTGCCTCAAATTATGAACATCCTTCTCGGTTTTCCCTTGTTTCATTATAAACTTCATGGCAACAGTCTGCCATGGATGCAACAACAGCAATAAGATCAAAGGAATCCAAGGAGGATGTTCTTAAAAAAGCATGTGAAATGAATCAAAATTTGGACGAGACATTAACCTGGCCAGTGCATTTGCGTCGGCCTTTATAGACTTTGCCAAAAGATCCTTCCCCAACTAGCTCTATCACATGGTAGTCCTCCAGCCCCATGTTTCAGTGAAGAAAAATGGGCTATAAATTGGTGAAGTAGTCTGTATCTGCAAATTTACAACAGGAGGGTAAACTTATGGAGAACTAATTAATGAACCAGACATATAAAAACCACCAGAAGCCCTGATCTTGTTGTTTTGGGCGATTAATTAATAGCTTCAGTACCCAATTAGGCAAGTGACTAACACAGGCAAGCTATAGATATGCACTACAAAGTGGAAGAGGAGCTCGCAGCGGATTTATTCCAGACTAACGCAGAACAAAAAACTGAAACAAGCAAAACCCGAATCTTCCAGATGAAAAGAACCCAACAATCGGGAACTCACTCAGTCGGAAGGATGAAGAAATCGGTTGGGGAGGGACTAGAGAATGGAGACTGTAGTGAAATGAAGAGGGTCGGTCGCGGACGGAGACTGAGTGCATGAAGCTACGGATCGACTTGCAGATGAAGAAGAACTGTAGAATGGGGAACTCGGGAATTCTCGATCTAGAGCCAGAATCGGGAAATTGGAGCTCGGAATGTCGATTCCTTGGTGGTTTTACGGTTTAGAGAGAGAGAAGGAGGGAGAAGGAGAAGAATAATTTTGAAATTTTTGAGGAGAGCCAAGACAGGACGGAAAAGAACGGAACGGAAGGTAAGACAGACGTCTTTCCTTTTGCTATTCTTTCTTCCCTTGTTCCCGCTCGTATTCTATTTCGAAATGTAGAGCGGGGATAGTTTTTTTTTTTTTGTCATAGATAGTTTGTAATAGATAGTTCGTTACAATGCATTGGAAATATAAAGGCGGTAGTCAACCAACTGGGTCGCTACCGATGCAAGGGCCGTTTGCGCCACGCGATGGGCAGCCCTGTTAGTACTACGAGGAGTAAAAACAAAAGAAATCAATGCAAAAGAGGACTTCAGCACACGCACTTCCTCCAGCACCGCTCCTCCTCAGTCATGATTGACATTACCCTCCATGGCTCGGTGGATGACCAATTGGGAATCCCCACAAAAACAAACAGAGGAATGACCACGATGTAAGCTCCATGTCATTGCATCCCGTAATGCTAACAATTCAAGCAAAAACGGATCCGAAAGGCCCACATAATACTTACCGTATGCGCAGACTACCGATCCATCTCCAGAGAATCCGACAAACCCAATGCTTCCACCTACACCCTTTCTTGTTGCCCCATCGAATCGAACAAGCAGACCACCTGGGGGACAGATGGGGGGAGGGGAGGGCCTCGGAATGGACCGCGTAGACCGTGGGTTTGATGTTGGGGAAGAAGAAGCCTCCCTCCATTCGGCAACCTGTTTAGTGAACTGGCGGAACAATGGTCCAGGTAAATACTGGATCTTGTCGTATGTTGTCCAGCACCTCCCTTTCCATATCCGCCACACCAGGAATACCACTTCCGCCATGTCGAGTTTGGATAGCTGCATAGAAAAAAACAAATGGTGCCAGGCCATGTCACTATTAACAGCGGCCATAGTTGCTCGGATGCTGTCCTTGTCCGCTAATGCCCATACCTCTCGAGCAATCCTGCAGTCAAAGAAACAGTGTGAAATGGATTCTACCGATGCTGAGCAAACAGGACACAAATCAGAATCACTCAGAGTTTTCCGAAACAGTATCATTTTCATTGGCAGAAACCCGCGGACAGCGCGCCACAGGAACACCTTGAGCTTAGGCGGGACAGGTAGATTCCACAGGACCTTCCAGAATTGAGTGGTCAAGAATGGTGGGAGCGGGTCAAATTCGAGATGTCGATCAGCGGAGAGGAGCTGATATCCAGACTTGACTGTATACTGCCCGGAAGCCGAGTAATGCCAAATTATTTTGTCGGGCCGAGGCGAAGCTGGTAGGGGAATAGCGAGGATCCACTGGACACTCTCGGGGGTGAATGTAGCACGCAGCAGGCCTTCATTCCACGAGCGGGTGAGTGGGTGAATCAGAGAGGCGACAAAAGGGCTCCGCAAAGAAGCGCCAGGGAGCAGGGAAGGCACAGATGGCGGAGAAGTGGGTAACCAAGGGTCTGCCAGAATACAAACAGCTGTGCCGCAACCAATCTGCCATCTCAAGCCTCGCTTTAATAGTCTTTGCCCTTCTAGAACACCCTGCCAGGCCCACGAGGGCCGGGATCCAGTAGAGGCATTAAGGAAATCACAAGAGGGGTGGTATCGAGCCTTATATAGTCGAGCAAGAAGAGAATCCGGAGCAAGAACGATCTTCCAAGCCTGTTTCGCAAGCATTGCGACATTAAAAAGATCAAAATCGCGGAATCCCAACCCCCCATGGAATTTGCTTACACAGACTGCTGACCACGAAATCCAATGCATACCCCTGTCTTTATCCTGGCCAGCCCACCAGTACCGACTTAACTGACTATTCAACCGACGACAAGATGTGGAAGGGATTCGAAAGGAGAACATGGCATACACCGGGGTGGCCGAACCCACTGCCTTGATGACTACTTCCTTAGCTGCTAGGGACAGTGACTTGGACCGCCAGCTTTGAATCCGAGCTGCTAGGTTGTCCTCTACAAATTGGAAGGTTAAGACCTTGGACCTCTGAATCTGAGCTGGAAGGCCAAGGTACTTCTCCATAGACCCGATAGAAGAAATCCCCAGCAAGTCAGCTAAACCAACAGAATCATGGGCAGACATATTTGCACTGAAACAAGCAGAAGACTTCTGTAAATTTATACACTGACTGCTGCCTCTTCATACACGTGCAACAGTGCAAGGAGATTGTGACATTCTGTCGACGTAGCTCGCAAGAACAGGTACGTGTCGTCGGCGAAGAAGAGGTGAGAGAGGATCGGCGCTGACCGGTGGATTTTCAAGCCGTGGAGCTGCTGGGAAGCCAGTCCATTGCGGAGCAACGTGGAAAAAGCCTCAGTATAAACCGCGAACAATAACGGCGATAAAGGATCTCCTTGGCGAAGGCCACGCTGTGGCCGAAAATAACCATGCTCGTTTCCATTGAGTAGTACTGTGAATGAGACCGTAGTGACGCATGCCTTTGTCCATCGCATCCATTGATCGCTAAACCCAAGAGCCTCCATGATTGCGAAGAGGAATCCCCATTCCACCCGGTCATATGCCTTTTCCATGTCGAGTTTTAGGGCCATCCACTTATCCCGACCTTGTGTCTTTGTTTTCAAGAACTGCATCACCTCCTGGGCAATTAGAATGTTGTCGGATATATCCCGGCCTTTGATAAAACCATTTTGAGTATAAGAGATCACAGAAGGTAGAACGACCGATAATCGAGCCGTCAAAACCTTGGATATGATCTTGTAGAAGACTTGGCAGAGACTGATCGGCCGCATCTGACGCATGAATTCAGCATTGGCAACCTTCGGAATCAGGGTGATGATGGTGTGATTAAAGTTGTGTAATAACCGTCCCGTTCTGAAGAACGACAAAGCCGCTCTGCATACTGAATCGCCAATGATGTCCCAGTAAGTATGAAAGAAAGCACCTGTCAGACCATCAGATCCCGGAGCCTGACCTGCCCCTATGCTGAAGACAGCAGATCGGATCTCCTCCCGAGTCACCGGAGCTGAAAGAAAATCATTCTGGGCAGCAGATATTTTGGGCTGAATACCCAGCGCCTGTACCAGGAAAAATGGAGAATTCCCATTTGACATGAACAACTTCTGGAAGAAATCCACAGAGACATTCCCCTTTGCAGGTTCTTCAAGATGAGTGTTCCCAGCGTCATCCCGAAGCACTTCAATTAGATTATGACGACGCCGCTGAGTAGTGGTGATATGGAAGAATTTGGAGTTAGAATCCCCCTTCTGTAGCCAGGACGTACGCGATTTTTGACTCCAATATGCTTCCTCCTGAAGGTAGGCAGCTGAAAGTTGGGTTTCCAAGGATTTGATGACGTCCCAGTCAATCCGAGTCGTTTCCCGTTCAGATTGAATGGCCTCCCGAAGCTCCCGGATTGCTCGCGCTGAGTTCGTGGTACCGAGGCGCGCCCACTGCACAAGCTGATGTCGTGCCTCCTTGCAAAGAGAAAATAGCTGGAATTGAAGAGTCCCTGTGACTTGGGATTGCCAAACCTGGACAACAATGTCCCTAGCCTCCCTGCTGTTAGTCCAACGACTATCATAGTGGAAACGTGGCTTGCCTTTTCCTGCCGAGGGGACGAGTTGAAGCAGCAAAATCCTGTGATCCGAGCCTAAATCCGACAGATGGGTGACCTGCATATTTGGCCATAGAGTCAAAAGATTAGCAGACACTAAACCTCTATCAAGGCGTTCCAAAATATGGGAATCAGCCCCTTGGCGGTTAGACCATGTGTAGGGAGAACCCTTAAATCCCAAATCAAGTAAACCTGCAGAATCAATGAAATCACGGAATTGCTCCATCACTTGAAAAGAAGGGATTCTGCCTCCTAGTTTCTCAGTAGCTTGGAGAAGACAGTTAAAGTCACCGACAACAATTTTGGGCAAAGAAGAAGACGAACACAAACGCAGAACTTCATTAAACTGAGAAAAACGGATATTTACATCACAATGCAGATGGACAAATATGATGCCCAATGTGCCCCAAACTATGTGCTGACATTCCACAAACATAAAGAATGCAGCTTCTTCTAGGACTCGACAATTAACAGAAGATGAACAAGCAAGAGCTAAACCTCCTGCCCTACCAATGGGAGAGACACAATGCGTGAATTGAAAACCTAGACGTCTAAGTTTCTTATGTACAAAGTCATCATCATGTTTCGTTTCACTGAGAAAGACAATCGACGGAGAAAAGCGACAAATGGCCCCGAACAGCGATGGAATTGTCAGGGGGGACCCCAAACCCCGACAATTCCATACCACCATGCTCATCGCGCCTGGTGGGACCAGTTGGGGCTGGTTTCCTCCACCACATCCGTTTCCACATTGTCACTTTGGATGTCCATCGGGTCACAGCGAGCTTTCTTGGACGCTGAGGACACTGCTGCCGGATCTTCCATTAAGTCTCTGTCGCGGACTAAAGAGGCTGAGTGAGCACCAACCAGATTGCCCCGTGCTAGGGACTCCATTGGCTCAATGGACGTTGCACCGGATGTCAGAAGCAACCCGAGCCCTAGAGCAGAAGAAGGTCTGGCCTGAGGCAGAGCAAGCAATGTGCCACGGCTGGTCTGGCCAGCAGGTTTTGCATCCCCCTCCTGGGCTTGGCGTACCCAGGTATATTGCTTCCGGCTCAGAAGGGTTCGTTCATTCACCTTGGGCCCGGAACGCTTCGACACTAGTTCTTGACTGTACGGGGTAACCGTCCCAGCAAGCTCATCACGTCGAGGGCATTGTTGGCCGATATGCCCAAGGATCCCACAAAGATAACAGAATTGGGACAACCTTTTGTACTTAATAGTCGCCGTGAAGCCACCCTTCCCAGCATTTTCATGAGCAGCAGGGACCGAAACCGGGAGTGGAAGACGCGCATCAAGCCAGATCTTGGCGAGGAGAAACAGTTCTCCTGTAGTTACTTCCCTGTGAATCACCGCCGATTCATTCTTGCCAAGAGCCCTCCCTAGCAGATTCCCCACCTTCCGAGTACAGCATGGAGGAGGAATATCCCAAAACTGGAGTTGGAGAGGAACAAACCAAAATTGCTCCGCCACTTCAGGAGTAACCGTCACCCAGGGGGCCAGGTTGACAAGGAACTTAGGGAGGAACCAAGGAGCCTCTTTCAGGACCCTATTCATATCGGCCTCTGATGGAAAAACGAATTGCAGCAGCCCTTCCGGAGCCGGGAGCACAGAGATCGATCCAACGCATTTCCAAAGCCTACCGAGCGTAGTCTGGAGATGATGAAGGGGAGGAGCAGGCCCAATCACCCTTCCCAGGAGGGAGAGGTCACTGCGCTCAATCCCTGCAACCACATCATCATCACCAAAAACCACCGGAGCTATAGCAGCCATTTGGAGCAGGGGAAAATTAGGGATTGGATACTGCGCGAGAAGGGGAATGCGCGACGACAGTAGAGACAACTTAGGCGAATAGAATCGCACTGGCCATCGTGATGGATTTATAGCCACCATCAGGGCCGCAATCCGTTTCCGGTGGGGCACGATGGCGGAGAGGCCGTTACCGGCTAGTCGCACGGCGGCGAATAACCCGCTTCCACTCTCCACGACAGAGGCCACCGAGAGAGAGGAGGGGATTTTTTTTTATTTTTTTTTAAGGAGAGTTTGTAGAGCGGGGATAGTTAATCATAATTAAAATGCACATTGTGAATCTTAACAACAGTGCAGTGTCAAATGCCAATCAGCCATAAACGGAAAAAGAAGATTCATAATCCATAAACCAACTCAGATCCTGATCAAACTCTTGTACCACAATCACTTGAACCCAGGAAGCTAAAAAGGCTAAAAAGCGAGCTAAACCCAACCCCTCCAGATCCAGAACTACTAGTCGCTTATTGACCCTAGGTTTGACCATTCAGAATTTCAGAGTGATTGATTTACTCCGGTGGATTAAGACCCAACAGAACGAAGCAGCATTTTCCCCGCCACTCCATCTCTCTTGCTAAGGGTTTCATCAACACCTCAGATAACTTTTGCAGGTGGCAACAACTTGATCGGGCTTCGTCGAGTGGAGAGGAAGTCGATCGATGGAGGAGATGCGGCGGCCGAGCTTCGTCTGCGAGCTTCTCGTGGGATGCGACGGCCGTTTGTTTCCAAGCAGCCGCAGGAACTCGATCGGGCTTCGCCGAGTGGAGAGGAGGCCGATCGATGGAGGTCGCTGGAGGAGATGCGGCGGCCGATCTTCTCCCGCAGCGCGGCCGTTTGTATGGCGCGGAGGAAGGAGTTTGAAATGGAGCGATGGAGGAAGGAGTTTGATGGAGGAAGGAGTTTCACCAATATATATCACCCTAACAACATAAAAACTTTCATACCAAAATCAAAAGACAGTGCACGTTCCATGCCACCGCCGGTTGCTCAACCACCAGACGTCGGTCGTGTTCGTCGGAAAAGGCAACGACGGGGCAACTAATAAGCTGGGATTGTCGGAGCACTAAGCGGCGGTTGCGGTGTCCGCCGCTTGCCAGCTACGGACGAGGGAGTCATGGCCGGACAAGAGAGACACGACGGCGGAGAGGACGGTGACGGTGGGAGAGAACGGCAGAGAGTGAGAGGATCAATGGTGGGAAGTTCTAGGGTTGGGAGGAGATTTATCTTTTCAAAATGGTTTATGGCGGTCGTTTTTTGGTTTGTGGGATTAGTTTTCCTTTTTTCCTTTTTATTATTACTTTCATTAATTTTTATGTATATTCCATCCTTGTCCTTATAGGTAGTTAGCCAATGATTGATTATGATTATCTCTCTCCTTCTCCTATTGGCTGAAATGAGTTTAAGATCCTCCTTAAGAAATAGGACTTAAGGACTGGATCTAACCCGCTAGTAGGGTGGGTTTTCAATGCCAAAACGGCATCTTTTGTCTGCGTGTAGAACCAAACATAAATAATGCAAAAAAAAGATGGGTTGGGGGACTAGAACCCGCGGCCTCATTATTGAATGGTTGTGTTTCTCCGCTGGGCAATGGGGAGAAACCCGTGCTATTAATTCCAAGAAACGAGTATTTATCGTTTCTGCCAGCTTCCACATCATTCTTTTTAAACGAAAACAAAACATCTTACGTGAACACGTTTTTGCAATTATATTTCCTGATTTATGTTATGACACTGAGTTTTTATAGAATTTCTTTCGTCAAAGTCAACCATCACTAATAATATCGATACATTTTATTAACATTTTCCTTTGCTTTGGACTATTCCAATCACACTTTACTTGTTATCAAATGAATTCAAACTAACTAACGATGAAAAAAGTACTACACATAATTTTCTAAAATGTAATTCTATCTCATCTTTGAGCTAAACCAAATACATTAATCAATGTTTCTCTGATTTTAACCATGGTTTAGGAGTTGCAAGTAAGGAGGTATGGCCGCCCGTAAATTTTGATTTGACGGGTGGTTCATTAGGTTCGTGATTCTCAATTCGGTTTGAGTCAGTAATAATAATCTAGACAACTAAAATACGAAAAATACGATGATGAGTTCCCTATTTTGTTTGGTATTCCAAAATTTGGTGGCAAATTCATATAGATCCAAAACTCAATGGCCTCATATGTATTTAATGTGCATCCTTCATTTCCTTTTGTCTTTTAGATTTTGAAAATGAAATAGGTGGAAAAAATGGGATTGGATAATAAATTTGGAATCCGAGTGAGTGATTAGCCTTAGTCGACACTCTCCCTCCAGCCAGACCAGCCCATCTGCCGTGACAGCCTGCCTCACGTTGGAGCCCACTCCCCTTATTAAACGAAAACAAAACATCTTACGTGAACACGTTTTTGCAATTATATTTCCTGATTTATGTTGTGGCACTGAAAAACAGAAAACGAAATGGCAAGTGAACGGGGCATTAGTCTGATACCCAAAATAATCTCCATTTCTCCGCGAATTCACGAAGAACACAACATGCAACCAACTACCAACAATAGAAGACTATAATCGAGAATGGAGAATAAGCAAATTATTAAAAGCTGGCGCCTCCACTTATCGAGTCACTTTTGTGTTTTTCTGTTATTGCCATCGGAGGAGCCGTGACATGCAACGATGTTTGTCTGGTAACAGGTCACTCTGCCTCTGCGTTATCTTCAAATCTCTTTCCAAATCCATCTCTTCTAAATTTACACTAACAAACCTATTGTATTCGAGATTTATAATTTATTTAACACTTTATTAACTTTCTATTATGTATGTTTTTGTTTTTGTGTGAGAAGAAATACATCGTCACTATTTAATTACCATATTATTATATTTAATGTGAAATTTTTGTGGATATCCACAACCAACCCGCACCAACTCGCTGCAGGTTGTGGTTATCCACTACCCACTGCGGGGCGGGTTGTGGATAGCATAATTCTACATTTGTGGGTGTGGTTACCTGCAAAATGTGGGGCGGGTAACCACACCCACCCCAATTTCCACCCTAGTTATTGAGGTGTATTTCGCCTTTAAGGATTAGGCCTTAAGGACTTGAACTCAGGCTCATCCTCTTCCAAGCGGGGTAGGTGGTTAACCGCTATAATAATAGTAGCTAATGGCACCGATGACTGACGGTTAATCACAGAGTCAGAGCCTTAACAAATCACCTATCAATAATAATTTTTTGATTGGCGGCTAACTGTTAAACGCATTATCGATTAACGTTTAACCCCTAGGGCCTAGATATAAGGCCGTCTTTCCTACACTGCCGGAAAAAAGAGGGAATAAAGAGCAATGCAGGAATGAATGAAATTTGCCTGCGAGAGAGCTCCAGAATCCGAACTCTATTGGCCGGGGAATCATCGCCGCAACCCAAAACCGCCAGTATCCCACACATGATTGTCTCCTTTCTTCGTCTTATTTTTCCTTCACTACTTTCTGAAGGGAATGCTCTGGAAGAATGATCGGATGCTCGAAAGGGTTAACTATGGTGATGGTGGCAGTCTGAGACTCGTACTACTGAGAGATGGAGGGAAGGAGAGCTGAACACGTAGCAGTAGTAAGCAGAGTTTTATGATTGAGTTGGTTTCTTCCTTTCCCGCCACGTACACACAATAGCCTCCAGCAGGCCAGCAAGTTGGCAATTGCATGCCCAAACTATACACACCTCATCATCACATGTGCTTCTCATTTGGCGCAATCGTCAATTTCTTTCAGCAAACAGAAAGAGCATAAACATGGTAACATGACCAAAGCTTTACTACATACACAAATCGAATCCTGCATATATTTACCTTATGCAGAACTCCAAACAGATCTTGAACAACAGACGGACAGATTACACACCTTATAATACAAAACCAACAAAGAGGCAACAGTACAAATACACATTCCCAATAACAGCATATGGGATCAGATTCAATTCTAGAGGGCACGCTAAGATAAACCTATGCCATACAATCATCTCTCACTACAGATTTTCACAATGCATAACAGAACCAGTAAGCTGGTTTGTTTGCCTAGCCACCCTATGGTAGATATTAGCCATGGATCGCCACCTCCTTGGCACTCACTTCCATCATCCGCGGCGGCACGTTGTTGTTGTTGATCATCTTTGAAGAAGACACCTTGGCAGCCTGAGCAGCAGCACTGCCGCCGGTGTCAGCATAAGCTGAGAGATGAACTCCTAGTGCAGCTCTACCCGAGGGGTCTAGATTGTTTGACCAAGAAGCGTCCCATTCCACAGCTTTGGCCGTGCTGCATGCCACACTGGCTCCTCCGGGAACGGTTAGACTGGCAGAGTTCTGGTGAAATGATTCAATCAATGGAGTCAGATTAAGGGTGTTACAGAAGGTCTAGGATCCGTTCATGTTTTTCTGAAGTTTTGAGTTGGGTTGTTTATTACCTGAGGGAAGAACCTCTCAAAGATCATTCTGTAGTAGTATGCTTCTTTGGTGTTTGGGGTGTTGTGTGGGAAGATGAATTCCGCATTTTGCATCATTTTATCCGTCACCTGGGAGGCGAATCAGTCGAACAAGTAACAAACACATAAGAATACAGTTGATTTCAACCAAAAACCAGGAGTTGATGGCATGAAAGTTGAAAGTTCAAGTGCATACATGTAGAGCAGCATGAGCTTTGAGGCCATCAATCCAGCTATAGCCAACACCGTCACTGAATTGCTCTTTCTGCCTGTATAGAATATGCTGTTGAACGGAAACCGGATGGATCAATTTTAAACTCCTACCATTTGTCAATCTAAATCAACCCTACAGAAGCAAAAATCATGTGTCAACAAAATCAAACCTACCTTAGGCAGATAAGGATGGTCTTCATCGTCGAAGGCTTTCCTAAGAACCCATTTCTCAATCCTTCCTTCCTCCGGCCTAATCTGAAATGACCCACACCGAAAAAAAAGAAAAAGAAGAAAACTTTAAGCCAAAAGAAACCAATCGTAATTGCAAACTGAGGCATACATATATACATATGTACATATACATACCATCTTCCACTGAGGGTCGATAGCCATGGCAACATTGATGAAGTCCTTGTCCAAGAACGGGACACGAGCTTCCAACCCCCAAGCAGATGTAGATTTGTTGGCTCTCAAACAATCATACTGATGAAGTGCTTTGATCTTGTGACATGTCTCGCGATGAAACTCCTCCTTATTAGGAGCCTTGTGGAAGTAGAGATACCCACCAAAAATTTCATCAGAGCCCTCACCAGAGATCACCATCTTCACTCCCAAAGCCTTAATCTTCCTGGACATCAGGAACATGGGAGTACTTGCTCGGATAGTCGTGACATCGTACGTCTCGATGTGATAGATCACATCTTCAATCGCATCGATCCCATCCTGAACCGTAAAGTGGAACTCATGGTGCACGGTTCCCAGATAGTCTGCAACTTCTCTTGCAGCCTTCAAGTCAGGGGAACCCTGTGGATGACAACAGTACAGAAGTTGGAATAATGAACAATTTTAATACAGAAAACACAACGGGCAAATATGGGATGTTTCATAGATTTTCACCTCAAGACCAACACAGAAGGAATGAAGCTGGGAACCCCATTGTTTTGCTGCTTTAGTTCCAGCCAAGTGCCTAGCTGTGATGGAAGCAACCAGGGAGGAATCCAGTCCCCCGGAGAGAAGAACACCAAAAGGGACATCAGTCATCAATCTCTTGATCACAGCCTGCGGTAAGAAACAGCAAGAACAATAAGTACCATCGAATCACAAATCACTTGGAGGGAAAGGAAGGAATGGCCTTTACATTCTCAAAAGCGCGCCTGAGAGCAAGTGGGTCGTAGGGAGAGGAAGGAATGGCCTCGGAGAACCAAATCGGGTTGTACCAGCGCCTGAATCCGCCGTTCTTGCTTGAGTAGAGATGCCCAGGAGGGAAACACTGGAAATGCTCACAATCATCATTCAAACCCTTGAGTTCGGATGAAATCCAAATCGAACCTGGAGAAAACCCAAGCAATTGCGTCAGTAACAGTTTATAATTTCTCGCCGGCAAATTCCACCGAGAGAAAATTAGGGTTAAAATTATCACCGTCGAGCCCCCAGCCGATGTAGAGGGAGGTGATGCCGACGGCGTCCCGAGCGACGATGAAGCTGTTGTCGCGAGTATCCAATAGCACGAACGAGAACATCCCGTCCAGCATGTCGACGAAATCTTCCCCATACTCCTCGTACTAGGGAAATTTAACAAGTGTAAAGAAGATAAAAAAAAAAAATCACAATTGGGCGAAAAGGAAATCTAACCCGGGGCAAAGAAAGGGGGGCGAATTACTTACCAGATGGGCGATGACGTCGCAGTCGCTGCCGGTGCGGAACTTGTGATTGGGCAGGCGATTCCGCAGCTGCTCGTGGTTGTAAATTTCGCCGTTAACGGTGACGACGATGGCTTTGTCCTCGTTGTAGAGAGGCTGGTCGCCGGAAGCAGGGTCGATGATGGCCAGCCTTTGATGGGCCAGGAAACAGTCCCCGTGCTGGTACAGCCCGCTCCAGTCCGGCCCACGGTGCTTCAGCCTGTTTAGTTAGTCAGTGTAATTAATTCCCACCATGGGAAATGGATCTATCAGTCAAAGAAAAGCAAAAACTGCAAAGAAAGCAATAATGAATTCTTTATTCTCCTGATTAGATTAATCACAAATTTGGGAGGGCAGGATTAATTATCAACAAGTACACGAAGCTTTCACTCTTATAAACCATCACCATCACAATGGGTCAATCAATCTCATCCTCTTTCTATTTTCTCCAATATAGCAAATAAATAAAAACATTACTGGTCACGTAGCAGAAAAAAAACACACACACACACACACATGAAATCAACAAGAGGAAGACGAAAAGAAAAGGAAGAAGGGAGGGGAATGGAGGATGAAGAATTGCCTGCGGGAGAGCTCGAGGACGCGAACCCTTTTGGTCTGGGAATCATCGGAGCAACCCAGAACTGCTAGTATTCCACACATGATGAAATTGATGATGGAAATGGGCAAAACGGTGGTGACTGGAAATGCGAAGAAAATGAGGAGGAAGAACGGAGGTGGAATCGGGGTTTGGAGGGAGGGAGGGAGAGATAGAGGGAGAGCTGAACACGTAGTGGTAGTAGAGCAGGTTTAGAATGTGGCAATTTGGGTTCCCTTACTCTGCCACCTCCAGCCACGTATTTATAGTTAGTAGCATTTCCTTTTCCATGCTGCTACGGTGCTAGCCTTAAGCCCCATTTCCATGCTGGGCCTACAGCCCATCCTTTCTTACGGCGTCGGCTCCTCTCTTCTCCATTTCATTTTTCCTTTTTCTTTTCTCTTTTCCTTTTATTAATTAGAAAGAAGATTAATCTTTTGTTCTCCAAAAATAAACCAGATATATAGGTTCGCCTGGAACAGTTCGATCCAGTCGCATAACCAAACTCATGAGAATCACGATTTAATAGTGAAAAGTATCCTAGGATCAAGAATCAGATCAATATTGTGTTCGGTTCGCTTTGGCCCCGTCCAAATATCACTTCCGACCATTTTTTTTCAATATTATAAAATTTATGGAACCAAAAATCGGATCATGTTATATTCGGTTCGATATGCACAATTCAAGTATCGATTTGGTATGATACAGTCCGATCTAAACCAACCTGTTGCACACCCTACTCCTGAACCGGGATGGTTCTTCTTTTCCTTTGAGTTTCTTTTGGAGGAAACAAAGGTTATCCATCCGAATTATTAATCTACTGCCAGCAAGAAGTATGGGAGTATGCCCTCCCAGTACATCTGGGCTATCCCAACTCCCATCTCTCTGTCAAAATAAAAGTGTTCTTTGTACAATAACATTTTAGTAGAATTCATAAATTTATTGAAGAGTTTTGTCTTTTTTCCGTGTTTGTTAAATTTACCAACTTTTTGATCCGGAAACAACTTCATCAAAATTCAAAAGTATAAGTTGTTATATGGTTTTATCGATATTAAACGATTGAATCATGGTCAAATCACAGTTTAAGTACACAATATCGTACAACTAAATTATCTGGTACAATCTCCAGTTCGATTTTATCTTTTTTATTTTTATTTCTTACCTATGACAGAATTTAGATTCTGACATTTTAAATTTCTGACATCTAAATTATCACATCTCTCATGAATTTATAGATTCTATGTCTTAGAGCTCGTTTGGAGAATTGGAGTCTAAATCTCTAGATTCTAGACAATCCAAAGATTTCAACTCTTTGGATTGTTGAAAAAAGATTTGAAAATGTTCATTGTTTGGTAACTATGATTGTTAACATCCAATGAAAAACAAAATTTTATTTTTTTTATCACATAAACATGTTTATCCTTAACCAAAATAATTAGATTGACTCGAAAAATATTGAGAATTTATTGGTAAGGGTATTTAGTGGGATAAATGAAAAAAAACAAGAGATATAATAGGAGGGAGAAAATCTCCAAAATCAAGATATAGAATCTCTCTAATTATGAGAGATTTGATATCTCTAGATTTTAGAGATTTAAAATCTCTGAAGTTACAATCTACGATACAAAAAGTAACAAAAAAACATCACATTTTGCTAAATCTATGGATTCAATAAATCCACGATCCAAATCTTGTTCTCCAAACGGCCCCTTAGTTTAAAATATATCTTTTTCCCCAAGCTCTATCTCTTTTTTTTTTTATCTCGCCTAATACTTTTATCAATACATTGTTGAATGAACATGATGAAAATTTTACGAATGAGATACCATCCATTCATCCCACCTGTCATGAACCCAGGAACGGCAATGAGGTAGGTTCGAGGCGGGTATCTCGATTCACATACCCGCCCTGTGGGCTATGGCAGATCTGCTCCAAATCAGGTAATTTATTATGGGGAGCAGGTCGGGACAAGTCGACCCAATAGGTATGTAATATATATGGAAATATTATAAATATTCGTTATTTTCTTTATATGACCAAGAAACAAACCATACTATGATAAATGTAGTTATATTATTGGAGAAATTGATGATTTCACTAATTTACAACTTTATATAGCTAAAATATGATGTAATAAAAGAAAAATCATAAACAATTTGACTAAGAATACATGTAATTTAGGCAAGAACGGATCGCAAATGAGGCCGGTCAGGAGAGGTCAGTTCAATGAGAGTACTCATACCCACCCCAAAACAGGCCAAAGAGGTTGGGTAAAACGGATTAGGTCAAAATAGTGATCCCTACATGAACCGTCCAACATCCAATCAGACAGATCGTGGATATTGCAAGGAACTCCTTAATTACATATGGTGCAGGATTACCATCGTCATTACCCAAGTCCCAGAGTATCACCATATAGCTAGTCTACTGACAGTTTACGCAATAAATAAATTAAGCAAATTGTCAAAGAAAGCACGCTTCTTCATAAAATGATGATGCTCCAATTAGGCATCCAATTTTGACACTATGATCTATTAATTAATAATCGCAAGTCAAATGTAAGATGCTAAAGCCCACTTCAACGTAAACACAACACCTTCGACGACATCCCATGTATACATACAGTCAGTCCTACTGTATAATACTACCAGCCTTATCCAGAGAAACATGGAATGTTGAAAATGGAGCATCCCGAAACCGCAATCTTCTTCTCACGTTGGTCAGAATTATTGGAGTTGCATGGAATAATGGATCCACGTGGTGGGTTTGTCGGGTTAAGGTTTTATCCTGTTTATTGGGTCGGCTTCTGACGTGTACGCACGTTTCCAACTTTGACGACGAGGTCAGCTGGTTTTATCCTGTTCAAAAATCATAACTGATCCCCCATTCCCGGTTGGAAATGTTCAGAATAATTGCTGACTCGGAGTTCTCATCCGCTTACTCACAATCGTACGTCTTTGTTCTTTCTTGCATGCTCTCCCATTTCTCCTTACCGTTTGCTTCTCAATTCTCCTAACATTTCGAATACATAGAGAAAAATCAAGATTGAGAGTGATAATTAACGAGTGGAATGAATTACTCCGTGTGCCTGAACTAACCTAAAGGGTAGATACAGTTTAATATGAAAGACTATTGAATCCACAAGGTACATGTTTAGGCAAACAACCGAATCCTTGAAACCTTCTTCAACCCTATGATGTGATGAGTCGATATACTGGATTGTCGAACGACTTTGTTGATGACAAATAGTTTTTTGGGAGTCATCATTCTGGTTTTTTCCTTTATAAAAAGCACTATCAACGATAAATATCTTCGACATTAGAAGAAGAAAAAAGCAACTTTGTCTTCTCTTTTTCCTAAAACGATTAGAAGAGGACGTGATTAGTCGAAATCTCATAGTAAATTATAGAAAAACTTAAGTATGGTTGCTTTTATTGATATGGAAATGACATAAGTGAAAGCTAAGTTGGGGGAAAGCTAGAAAGTAATGCAAAAGACACGTGCTTATTATGAGCTAGCTAGAAAGTAATGCAAGACAGTGATTTGTCAGGAAGTTGAGAAGTTAATACACATTTATTTTACTTTATATAGGACGATTAGCGAGAGAGTGCACATTATTTCGTACCTAAGCGCACTATATATTATGCTCAATGCAACAACAAATATAATCAATGTATTATTAATTAAACTAGTAAGTAGTTAACTATGCACTTCTTCCAAAGGCCACCTTTGTAAATCATAAATAAAACTGTTCTCTAAATGGTTAGTCACAACTTAACCTACTTCCAGTTTTACCTACTATGGGAGCGGATAGGGTAGAAAATGTCGGTATGCAAAACACTACAAAATCTCGCGTCGTATCATCCTATTATACGATATCGTGATACAATGATACAATCGGCGATTTTTGCAGGGTTTTGTAGGCCGAGATTTTGTATCGTAATCCAATCCCCCTATTTTATTATGATTAATTCAGAAAGTACGTATACTTAACTTGTGTTTAATCATTGAAGTCCATGGATAATCAAAATTCATTTGGCGGCAATTAACTACTCAATTTTTGGAGATATATTTTTATGTGGAAAGAATTAAATAGTACTCTAATTAATTTCGTGTTGGCTGTTGGGAACCTCGAAGTGCATGTATTCATGCATGCATGTATCGAGCTTGGTTTTAGTTTAGGGTTCTTTGGTCACCGCATTTTAACAAATTAACGATAATAATAAGTTGATTACATTACATTACGGTTTCATTAATTAATTGAAGGGTAAGCACATTATTGTTGGGCTTTGGCGTGAAGTATATATTCGATCTCATATGCTCACTGCAGGTCCAAATAAGTGAGCTACGATCCCTGTTAAAAATATTAATATTAATAAATAAAAATAAAATGGGCATCACATGGATATGATATTGATATTTTATTATTTTGTGTTTCTGAATGTGAAGATAATACGTTATATATATCTTGACTAACTTGTGCAGCAGTTAATAAATTAATTTTGTATGAATTAATTAGTATAAGATCATAAGAAAACAGACAATAAGTAGGTTGTTACATCTCAATCAAGGGGAAACCAAAGCCCTTTAGGCTGTTTAGGTCTAAAATGGTCCTAAATTGTCTCAACTCAAAACCTTCTCATAACAACTCATCTTATATAACCATGACATGTTGTACTTGAGCACAAACTTTTGGGTCCGGATAGTATAACAACACTCTTTTTGTTGTTATAATAACAATAGGATTCATTAAGAGCAAAAGGGTAAATTTACAATAAAAATTAGAATAACAAACGTGCTTTCCCCTCCGCACTGTTCTCCATCGCTGGTTTCCTCCTCTGATTGCCATCTAATCCCAAATTCCAACTCTCCTCCTGCTGTGGAGAAATCCTACTCCGGCGCCGGCAAATCTCAAGTACACAGAGACCGATTTTCTCGAACGACCGATTCTTCTCCAACAGCTTCGATTTGGGCTGGATCTCCATTACTTACAATGCCGATTCTTCTCCAACGGCTTCAATTTGAGCTGGATCTCCTCGCAGCGACAGGAATGATTCCACTTTTCCGGCGGCGGCGATTGTGGTGAGAGTCAGAGCAAAGGAAGCTGTAGGTGGAGGAGTCGGCGACGCGGGAGAGGCGACAGATTAGCTGTTTCATGATTGTATGTGTTTGATTTTTTAATTGAATCTGACGGGAGCGACGGCGGAGGTGGAGGAAGGAGGAGGGAGAGAGTC